CAGCGGTGTACACAATGCACCCCCTGAAACAAGTGATGGGGGTGCCGAACACTTGGCAAAAGGCCCTCAGTGAAGTCAGATCTTCCTGACGCCGATTCCAATCAGCACGTGCTGGTTGCTTCAGCTGGAATTATAATTGGAAACATACGATTGGAAACGAAGCTGAAAGCACATACATCAAGTAAAGCTCGAAGATAAGACTGCTGATTAATGGATCTCTGCGACCAGGAGTGACGGATGGATAAGTAAATCTTCTGATGAATCACCATAAGGAGACTGTATGTTTGGAACGAAGGGGGGGTGGAGGAAAAAACTCTTTTTTTCTTTGCATGATGTGATATTAATAACCCTTCACCCCAGATAGTAACAAGATCGTCGCGTTTCTATGAATCACAGGCAGGACTTTAAGAACTATGTGGGACGGAGTATAAGGAAAAAAGACGGCAGAACGGTGAGAAAGGAAGAAAATTTTTATGACGCAGTTAAAAAATGGCGTCTCGCCATGACAGGTTTACCGAGGAAGAAGGACTGGGGGAGGAGAATCAGGATTGTTTGAAAGAGAAGGAATGTTGGAATTTAAGTTTGACCTGACAGAACCCCCAGACTCATTTGTTATTTGGTAAGCCTGAGAAAAATAAAGGACAGATCAGAGATTAACTTTGTTTATGGAAGCGTTGTACAGAGGCTGTCCCGGATCGATATGATTTTTGGAAAAGTACAAAACCCACATAGAATGCCTGCTGTTATGCTGCTTGTGAAAATCATCAGAGATTGCAAAGAAAGGAAATTTAGGATAACAACAAGAAGAGAAAAGAAGTAACAAAGGACTTTCCGGATCAAACTGGAGAGAACTGTCTAATTAATGCAGTAAGATAAGTGATGCTGTTTTGGACTTGAGCTGAGCTTGATGTATGGGTACCCCCAACAAAATTTAAAATTTGGCTGTATAATTTGGAATCAATGTGATAATGTGATGTGATTGGCCTGTTAATAAAAATTATTTAAAAAAGAAGAAGAAAGGTGGGTTGGAAGTATTGAAAAATAAATAAATATTGTTTTGAATAAATGTAAACTGAATCAGATTTCTTCCCCACTCCTACTGAGGCTTTAATCAATGAGTGAATGTGGGGAAAGGATCTGTAAGCTGCAGGTGTTTATTTGCAGGCAGAGTCTGCTTATATTTACTGGATGGAAAGGGAAGAGTAGAAGCCACAGCAATTCTGATTTGAAGACCCCTGGGGAGACCAGGGGTGGGATTTGCCTAAGGAGTCTGGTCAGTGTGAGGCCTGCATATGAGGGCTTCTGCTTGCAAAATGGAACTGTCACTTTCCTCTCTCCGTGCCTCCTGGCTCTGGGGGAGGGAGGTCAGGAGGGCCCCCAGAACGGTGAATGGAGGGAGAAAAGGTGGGATTGTTGTTCTGTCTGGCAAATTGCAATGCTTGTGTTGTTGGGATGCTCACCACTCAACGACACTGAATTCCACTAATGCTCTAATGCTACCAGGTCTTGCAGGATCTCTAATCCAGATCTTTGACATTTTTGAAGGCGGGGTGGCGGACGACCTCTGACCTTACAGACATTTCTGGACTCCCATCATCCCTAACCACTGACTGACCATGCTGGTTGGAGCTGATGGGAATTGGAGTCCAGGAACATTCAGAAGGCCACAGATTTCTCACTTCTGTATAGCTAACCCTGATGACTCTGAAACAGGGAACATACAGTGATCCGTGGCAGTGATCACGCTGCATTGTGAAACTGGGCTTTTTCAGGCTTTTGAATCTCACCAATGAGCAGGATAAGATGTTGAGTTGTTGTTTTTAAACCTCTTATTGTCTCTTCTAACACTTTTTGCAGATATCTATTGGCAAAATCTGAGACAAGGGGTATATTTGGCAATATGAATGGAAAATAAAGAGTCATGTTGCATGTAAAATGGCTCTTTTATGATATTGGAACTGGATTCCTTTAATTAAAGCTCTGCGTGTGCGACAATCTGTGCTCCCTGACTGATTTTGGCTCCCTCTGCCCCCCCCTTGTAATTTGATTGTTGTTGTTGCTTTTAGCAAAGGAAGAGCTTTTGGAAATTATGTGGTTTTAAAGAATATCTCATTGGGCAGTGGCATTGCCTTCTGCAGATAAACCTTTTATTTTACAACAAAATAAAAGTTCCCAATAATTTTCATTCATCAGGTGCCATGTGTGTTCCAAAAGCCAAGTACCCAAATTGAAGGCTTATAAAAATTTAAATGCTCCAGTAATTTAAAATCATGTCTGCTCATGCTAACCAGTGCTGGAATTCATCTGTTCCTTCAGGCATGGGATTTGGGATGAGTGGGTAAGAGGCCTATTTCTATGTGTGCTTCAATTTGGAAGCAGCTCATGGAAGCATCACACTCGTGCAGTTCAGCTGTTGCAGAGCTAATTTGCAATGTGTCATAAAACAGAATTAGGAAAAGCAAACAAATTTCTTGAAGAGCAAAGAATGTGCTCCAGTAATCCCCAAACATAATGGGCATAAACAGAGAAAATGGAAAACAAGTGAAACTTCACTTGTGGGTAGCCAGAAGCAAACGAGAGCACAGGGTTCCTGAACATTTAATACTCATGTTGAAAAGGAAATCTCAGCATGTGTAGTTTTCAGTGTGCAATTTATGGGCTAATTCCGTTGGTGTTAAAAGTCAACTTGCCAAGAGGGGGATGCAAGCAAGCAGGTGGAGTGGCATGACCCTTCAGTGAGATAGCATGTATGTTTATTGGCTATATAGTTGTGAGGGAGTTTTCCTCTTAATTCTTGGTTGAATGTCTCTGTTTTATATACATGAAGGAAGGGAGGACTTGTCCACACTTCCATTTGTCCTGTGCCTAGAAAGCAGAGGGTTGTTGTTGCTTTCTAGGCATGGTTTTCTGTTTGCCCCACCACATTCCCTGAGGAAGCCCGTTCTGTTGTTGTTGTTGTTAAAATTTGCATACCATCCTTCATCTGAAGATCACAGGGCAGTTCACAACACAAAAACATAAAATGAGAACACAAAATACATAATAAAACAAAAACAGACCAACAAAGGCCTAGTCCTAGAGAAATGTTTTCGCCTGGTGCCTAAGGATATGTCATGAAGGCACCAGGTGAGTCTGCCTGGGGAGAACATTCTGCAAACAGGAAACCACCATAGGCCCACATTAAAAAGCCCTTTGAGCATTTGGGGTCCCCCCCTCAGAGTTTTCCCCATGAAAACCCACTCTTTATCGCACAGTCAGAGCAAACATCAACTCAGGCTTTAAGTGGATTGCCATTTAAAGAAGAAGAAGCTCCGAATGGACCTTAAAGAGAATGGTTGTTTGTTGGTTTGTTTGTTTCAGCCGAAACTCATCAGAACTAAGTTCCGGCACCTCTCTGGTAGGCGCCATTGCCTTTTTAAAGGAAAAAGGGAGGTGTTCATGTGAGTTCCAGCACCTCTATTTCTAGAAAAATAGAGCTAAGAACTTCCATCAGTTGAACTTAACCTCTAGCTGAGCAAACTGACTCCTTCTCTTAAGATTCTATTCATCTCAAAGATACAGTCACATACATCATCATGTGGTGTGTGTGAAAAGGGGGCTGAAGAATAGGATAGAGGCAGTGGCATGGAGATGGGACTGGTCTGGATGCAAGGGAGAGTTGAAAAAAGGAAGGAGGAGGCAGGGCTGATGGTGAAAATTAGAATTGCAAAAAAGAGGGAGTAGGAAGCATGGAAATAAGGGTGAAGATGAAAGCAAGGGTACAAAAGGGAGTACTGAATAGGAGGGAATGGTGGTTTCATAGTTGAGTAGGAGATGAAAGGGGTGCTGAGTAGTTGCAGTGCATGGGAAGAGGAAGATGCAGGGGGTTTCCATGGGGTGGTCTGTCTGTAAGTGGGTATTGCACAAAAGGAGGGAGAAGGGTAGGCACGGATACAAGGGTGAAGGTGTAAATGGTGGTGCTGTAGAATAGAAAAGTAGCTTAAAATATATTGGGAAGGTGAAAGGGTGTTTAGTAGTTGCACAGAGTAGGAAGGGGAAGCACTGGGTGGTTAATGTGGGGGGAGTAGTAATTGGGTTAGCAAGTAAAGAGAAGCAGGCAGAGCCCTACCCGCCACCAGTATTTTTCAAAAGGTAGCAGGGAGAGAGCAATTCCTATCCATCTAGGGTAGGCATAAGAGCTGGGCCAATAATTATGAGGCTATAACTTTCAAGCACCAAAATATCTCATGCTTGTACAAGCTGAGAAATTGGACAATTATATTACAGGCCTCCTGGAAGTTGCACTTCTCGACATTGCAAAGAAATAGATGCATCTCTGATTAATTCTCTTACAAGAGCCAAAAGCATCATTTATGCTCTTATCTGCCTTCCTCTGAGCCTGAAGAACAGTAAGAGATAAGAAGATACATATTTTTTTCTTATTTTTTTTTGCACAATCATGTAAACCTTGGTCTCTTGTGCCCCAACTTTTAACATATCCTGATCCAGCAATTGTTTATGGGTTTTGAAGCTTGTTAGAGATGCATCCTCCAGATACTTTCATCCTCAATAACTTCTCAATTTAGATCTGTTGTGCACGCTGATTATGTTCCTTCAGTGAAGTGAATGGGGAAGCTTGCAAATGCAAAAGCTTTGTGCATACATCAGAGCAGAAGTGGAATTCTGGAGAGGCTATGCAAGTGTTTCTACTGAAAGCAATCACTATTACTCAACTTCCACATAACCACTACGATCCATATATTTGTGTTGATGGATCTTCATAGCATTATTTGTTATTTGTTTCGTGCCGTGTCTCATTAGACAGCTAACATGGGCTTATTGCAGCAACCCAGTGAGGTAGGATAGACTGAGAGTTTGTGTCTGACCCAAATCTAGCCGATATACTTCACTGACTCACTAGGGATCTGAATTCAGGTCTCTCTAGTCCAAGAGTCACTCTGTGAGTGACAATTTGCTGTAATAAAGGCAACAGATTGATATAAAAAGTTACACACGGCTTGCATGTGGAAATCTTTTCTGCTCAGAAAAATTGTCACATTTTAAAGAGCTTATTACTTGAATAGCGATATTCTTAAGCAACAATCTATGATCAGTTGATCCATGTACAGTAAAACATACAAAATCAAAGCACTCTTCTGGCCAAGTCACTAGAGCTTAGTGAGCAGAGCATACAAATATCTCAATCCACAGTCTTAGACTATCTGGAAAGTCTTACAGGCATATGCTCCATGAGTGGATAATTCGAAGAAACACAGCTTTGCAAAATGTTGGATTATGAAACAAACCAAACATTACTTTAATATTGTGATTAGGAACCAGATTTGTTTTAACAGCACTAACACCAACACTGAGGTGCAGCGCTTTTTTCTGGGGCTGCTCAAGGGTATGATGTACCAGCACCATTTTTCTCCAGATGTTAAAAGTGTGGCACATACTGTAACAACTTCGTTGTGAGTAATGGCACCTTTTTTTCTTTTCTTTTTTTAAAAAAAGCACAGCTGAGGTGTATGTGCTGATTTTCATTGGAACTACAGCACTCAGAGACTCGGTTTAACATCCTGCCTGGTAGTTAGTATTAGGTGGAGAAAAACAACTTCCCCTTAATGCCAGTTGCCACATTTTGGGGTGGTGTTCTACTATGTTGTACTCAGAGTAGACCTACTGAAAATAATGAACCTAACTTAGTCATGCGCATTAATTTCAGTGGGACTACACACTGAGTAAAACTTAGTTGAAAACCATTCCAGGTCCCAACAGAAACAGCAGTGCCAACACCTCCAACATTAGTGTAAGAACTTTGGGGGAGTTGTTTTGTTTTAAAGATCAGGTTGAAGATTGCATGAGGAGAGCTGCTGAAAGAGGGGTAGAGGTAGAGTGGGGTTCGGTCAGGGATACATAGGTAAGCAAGCTTCATAAACCGCTCTGGATTGTGACCTATTGCTTTTGTCTGCCTGTAATAGCATGTTGGCACAAAAATGGAACTGAGCAGGAAGGGTGAATTATAACATACTTGATCACACACACCCCTTAGATTTTATTCATTGATGCATTTCTTGAATATTTTTTTATGCATTACTTGTGTGCTCTTCAGGTTGTTTCACTCATTCATTTCTTGAGAACTTTGCAAATAAACACGACCTATTGTTTGAGATGATGGTCACTCACCACGCTGTGTACCTTTGAGAATAACTACTCCAACTGCTTGGTGGGGCTGGAAGGAATGGGCAGATTTGAAACCGCTTTGCATCTATTTTTAATGCTTCGTGTCCAAGGAGTTTGTTCACATTTATTCAGCCGACTTTAAAAGAGCCTATTTTGCCCTTTCCCCTGAATATAATATATTTTGTGAGATGCCATCATGAAAAATAAATCCATTTCCTCCACATCTTGTTAAAAGAGAAAGGCCACAAAATCCCATGCCAGTGTCCACAGTCACCTTTATAGCTCTGCTTTCTTGGTAACAAGCCCAATCATATTTTTACTGTTTGACGTCCCTTGTTGGTCCTCTCTGGCAAGGAGTTCTGGGTCCATGCTGGTGTAAAAATATCCCATGATGGAGAAAATAATAAACACGATAAAGAGCAGTGCAGCAAAGAGGACAAACTCGAGCCACTGGAGAAAGAAGAGGGTTTAAAAAAACCAAAAAATTAATATTTATTTGCCAACAGCACTTACACATTCATCTTCTTCCAACTGTATAGAAGCTTAGTCAAACTATTTCACTTCTAGTTACCAGCTGCATATGGCACCTGGAAGTGACAGAGGAGCAGAACTTTGCAAATCACTCTGACGGGGCCAAACGAGATGCAATTTATAGGACACAATTTGATCTTTTTGCTTTAACCAATAGCTGGTGTGCCTCCTTCCCCCAAACACCAAGCTTCAATAGGACTGTGACATGGGTGATAGGGATGGTGTCATCCCTTTGTGCATGGCCCCATTGCAGTACTGATCTGGATTAGGGGTCATGCACTGAATACTTACATTGGGGGAAAGCTCCAGTTTGCTCCAGTTTCCAAAATGGCTCAGGAATGTGAGCATGGAAATCCTTCGGAAGACCATATAGCTAAACTCCTGCTCTTTTCAGTGCATGTCTGGCATGGGGAAAACCCCCCAATTTTGATAACCCAATTTTTCAAAATCCACATTGTGTTTTATTTGGGGAATACTTAGGGAGGTTAAAAACAGGGATATGCTATCCTGAAGGGCAGAATTTTGGCATTTTGGCCTCTGAGGGGAGTTATTGGAATTATGATAAGTTCACCGGTTCTCATGACCACAGCAAAATGTTGCTGTGTGTATGTGTGTTTGGGAGACGACTGAGATAACATGAACAGCTGTAGTTGCAGATGTACCATAAGGGGCAGAAGTCCAGGTTCCCACTCAGCAGAATGAGCTGGATGGCCACAAAATGCAGCAGAGCTGGCTCAGCATATTTTGCAGTAAGTGCAGTAATACACATTACCAACTAAGTAGCCCCACCCTCAACCCACCATTATGGCCAAAGTTTAAAAACACTTAATTGCACATAGGAGTTCTTCTGTGCAATAAAAGACACTCATATGCTGGAAAATGAGACTAAATACACACATTTAAAGCATACACACACCACTAAAGGATCCTTGGAACTGTGGTTTCTTAAGGGTGCTGGGAATTATAGCTCTGTGAGGAGTGAACTACAATTCACAGGACTTTTGGGGTGGGGCAGGTGCTTTAAATGAATGCTTTGTAGCCTGAGTGTGCATGAACTTGATATTGTCATATAGAAGCAAGGTCATGCATCATGTGAGCTGACAGGTAGAGTCAAATGAATCTAGTTTAATTAGTTTTCTTATTTCCCCCCAATGTCCTTCCTGTGAATATTTTCCAGCAATATACATCTATTGTTACTGGTACAGAATGGAACAACACATGTGCTCAGCTAAATGCCCTGGCATTAATTTTTTTTGGTGTGTGTATGTTATTAATTTGTGAGGGAGGACACTAAATTGGATGGCACACTAATTGCATTCTATTCTCCTTGTTGTGTCAGCTCTATTGCTTTATTAGTTAATTGCTCATTTGCTCAGTGGCCTTTCTCTCCATTATGTAGGTTAATCAGTTATTTTTTTGTGATGTATCTCTTCCCCTTTGTACAAGTTACTTATTTCCGCATTCATTACTTCTGGGCTATATACTGGGGCCATTGGTAGGCAAGTGTCCTAATCATACACATTAAACTGTCGGCAACAATCTAGGTTATAAGTCTCTCTGAGCATTTTAAATTAGCACTTGGAAGGAGGATTTGGTTTCCACTGGTTGTACCCAGTGCTTTTTTTTTGGTTTAAAAAATGATTGCCGGTAGTCATATCTTGATCATCATGGTTGCAGCACAAAATGACTATCATGGCAACAAAAAAGGAAAAAAGAGATAGTACTCTGTACTGGTGAATACCATCCATTAGGGTAATCCATACCAAGGAGTACCATCACAAAAAAGAGCACTAGCTTTGCCTATTCTTTTGGATATGCCTGAAACCACACCTTCTCATGTCCACTAACTTACGTGCCACACTAACAGAGAAAATGTTGTCCGTTATACTAAGATGCTGTGTCCTTTACAGAGGTTGAAGTGATAGTTAGGAAGGATGGTCCATTTTAGAACATTCCTCTTCAACACAACATGCATTCTTGCCTCAACGGAAGGATGTCTTTCTTTGTGTGAAGAAAGTCCTGGGTCTCTGGGTATGCATTCATGTTTCAGGGATGGGAACCTGTGGCCCTCCAGATGCTGCTGGAATATAACTCCCATAATACCTGATTGTTCACCATGGTTGGTAGGCCAAATGGGAACTGGATTCCAGTGACATTTGGAGGGACACAGATCCCCATCCCTGGTGTAAACAAATGTAATGTGTGAACTGGACAATCAGGTGCAACTGTGGTTAAGCGGATTACTTCTCACTATATTGGGGGTTGCCAGGTTAATCACCAGTAAAACCAGGTCTAGGAAATAAATAGGTGAGTGACTGCCATTTCCATCTTACCCTGTACTCTCTTCTTTAACTCCCTAGGGTCTAATGCAAAGAAAATGCCTTTCCCATCACCCCCTACCTAATCCTTTTTACTGGGCAGGACAGGGATTGCACCTGAGCATAGAAAACATACCTGAGAACTCCAATCATCCCTGCCAATTTGCTATGTTGACTGAGGCTGATGGGATTTGGAGTCCCAACAACATATGAAAAGCCACTAGTTTCCCCACCCTTGTTCTGCAAGAATGGCTGCCAAATGTACTGAAAGCAGATCAGAATGTCCTGTGGAGTGTTACTCACAACTCCAGCCTTAGTGCCATGGTTAATGTATTCTATCCCATACCTGTTCCATTGGTGCAGCCTGGGCAACAACAAGCACAATCGCATTTCCAAAGGCCACGGTTAACAGCCAGCCAGCCTGCAGTACTGACTTCATGCTGGCAGGAGCCTGAAAAAAAAGAAAAGAAAACCAGGAAGATTAGTCCATTCTCAAACACTGAGAAATTTCCTCAGCATCCTCACTGAGTACTATGCTGCAGACTGCGCTCAACCACTTTCCTGTTTCGCGATGGAGTAAGCAAATCACCTTATGGCTCTGCGGGCCAGTTACAAATCAGTATGTATTCCTTAGTTACTTGGTTCAACACCTGATGATTCGCCAGGACCGGCCTCTACCATCAGGCAGAATGAGGTGGCCGCTTCTGGCAGAAGATGCAGAAAGGGAATGGTGGTGAGGCATTGGCGGACAGGGCTGTGTCCACCATGTGGCCTGACCTTCAGCCCTTAAGTTAGTTTGCTGCCCTCATGTGCAGTAAAGGACATCTGTCTCGTTGCCAGAGTTAAAGTTAAATTCCCTTAATAATAAATGGTGGTGGTGGTGGTGGTGATATGCCACTCCAATCAGCATCTGTACATGTAATGGTAGAGGGTGGGGATGGCAGCACACCATTTACCTCAGGTACCAAAATGCTTTGGAGTGGCCCAGTGACTTGCAGACTGATGTGTGAACTGACTCAGTTGAATAACGCTATATCATTCTGAGGTAATGTGAAGTGATCTGGAAGTCTTTGCCAAGGTGTCTGATATGTAATGGCTCATTCACATCTGACCATCACAATCTGATGCTGTGGCCATCGAGCGATGAGCATTTATGTGTGTGTAAATCAATCAACCCTGAGGCATGGCAGAAAATGACACTAAGGTATATCAAGGGGATTCTGAGAACCAGCACATACTTCCTCTGACCTCCAGCAGCTCTCATGTAAGCGTCATCCTACCTGCCTGTGTCAAGTGTGGGTTACCTCTGTATTCTCCCAGGGGCCCCAAGAAGAGACTTCAGGAATATAGGAGAGTGGAGAAATACCACATAGCCTTTGAAATCAATGTGGCTGTTGAAGTGCCCTGTGGTTTTCTTGGATGTTTGAGGGAAGCAGCATATGAAGCTGCCTTATACCAGGTTTGCTTATCTTAGTGTTTTTGCTCTGACTGACAGAATCTCTCCAGGGTGTCAGGCAGGGATTTTCCCTTATCACCAGCAATCTGATCCTTTAAAAAAAAAATGGATAGACCAGGAGGCCTTCTGCATGCAAGGCATGTGCTCTGCTACTTAACAATGGCCCCTCCTCATTGCACACAAATAAGAACTAATCTGTCAGGACAATACAAAAGAAATGAGAGAGAGAGAGAGAGCACACATGACTGAAGCTAACACTGCTCCCAATTATATTCTGTCCCATATTGCTATAAACCTAATATGTTTCTAGACCTTAAGTTTTAAAAGGATTACTCAGGATTACTTTATACACTAGTTTCCCCCCAACACCTAATAAATTTTAAAACATCAATACTATATTGTGATAGCCAAAGCTAATGTTTCCATTTACTCCTGGAACCTTTAATACAGGAGGGTAATTGCTTCCATAGTATTTGTGTGGGCCGTAGTTTCTACCCATTTGACCTAGTTTATAATAGAATAATGAAATTTGTTATGGCGGGATGTAGTGATGGCAACCAACTTGGATGGCTGTTATATGGGACAAGTTCATATGGCTATAGTCAAAATGGCTATATACTACTTTCAGTCTCTGAGGCAGTGTGCCGCTGTATACCAGTGGATGAGGATAATGATCTGTAAAGGGCTATTATGCTCATGTCATGCTTGTTGGCTTCCCACAGACCATTGGGAGAACAGGATGCTGAACTCAATGCACCTTTGGACTGATGCAGCAGGGCACATCTTATGTTCTTATTGTGCCAGATCTTCTGGTCACTGCATTCAATCATAATGTCCACACAAGGAGACGGAGAATAGAGAGATGTACATATTATTAGATCAGGACTGCAGTCCAAGGCACACTTTACTTGCAAGTAAATTCACAGTAAATTTGGTCAGGATTGTGGTGCAAGTCTACACCAAACTTGCAACTTGTTCTCTGTTCTCTCAGCCTTTGGAAGACCTGGCAAAGTGCAGCTTTCTATCCTGCCCTTCTCCTCATTAAGCACATCAGATTTCCGATTTTCTTCTTTGTGCTCTACATACATTACCTGGGAATAAGAGAAGGCAATGCCTGTAATGGAAAACATCACTTCTCCAGCTGATATTAACAGGTACTGTGGAATCTGCCATGAAATATGGACGTTATTGGCTGAGATGTCTTCTGTCTTCCATGCTTGGAGGGACTTTGTAGAAGTCTAAGTTAGGAGGAAAACAAGTCATGATGATTAGGTGATGTTAATGCAGAATCTATGTTGGTGTGTGTGTGGAGAGGAAAGGTTTTCTTTTGAAGACTGAAGCAGCATTCTCCTCCTGAGCCCACTAAACAACTGTGAACTCTGCCAGTGGACTGAAATAAAATCACATTAAAAGCATCAGCAAACTCTGCTTTTACTGGGAAGGTGCTGGAATTGTTTATGAGATGCATTTAATCACCATAAAGGGAAAGACAACAAGAAGGCCTGTTTTAGAAGGCTAAAAGGGGTGAGCAGTAATTGTGTGCATTACTCATTGGACTATGGAGAAATGTCACAAACACCTTCAAAAGAAGTTTGATGTTGACAAAAGATTGGGCATAGAAGATAATGATCCTAGCTATTTACATACTGCAGTTCAGCCATATTGCAGCACCATATGCATAATTTAGCTTCTTTATGCATATGCCACAAAGCATAATAGATCTGGAAGCTGAACAAAGCATACTGTTAATTGCAACAGCCAGATTGGAGAAGATCAGTCACTTGGTCAATAATAAGAAGAATAGGTATATAATGAGAAGAGATACTGCCAGCAGAAAATTCAAAACAGGCCAGATTGACTTGAGTGCTGTCAGTGGCAGTTCTTTACCATCCTGATGCATACTGCTAAACTCTTGATTGTTCATACTGTTATAAATCTAGATCCCACATTATTCTGACTGCAATACATAAATGCACAATACATACTCCTCAGTATAATACAATTACATTTACTTCAGGTCTTTCACATCTACCAACTCTACCAATCCAGAACATAACTACTTGCAGATAAAGACTAATTCGCACAATAGAAACGATGAATACATATGTGTATACTTGGAATTGCTTGGAATGTGTGATAAATTTTACTTGTCTATTTTTGTTCACAGTAGAGATGAAAGAAAGCATTGCTTTCTGTTCCTCCCTGTATTCACTGCATGCAGCACTGTTTCCATTCTGCTGCAGTTCAACTTCTGTCAAAAACTGCCATTTGTCTCACTCTCTGCTGCAGTAAAATTACATAACCGACGTAATTTACATAATTAAGTTGTATAAGTTATGTTGTCACTATGTTATTCCACCCCATTCTTTTCAATGCGAATAAAATCCAATGCAAATGCGTGTGTGTGTGTGTGTGTGTGTGGTGTTAATCAATAAATCATTTTTGAAATGAAAGCAAGAACAATAGTGGATACAAATTGTATTTTGCTGGATTGATTTCCATTGGGGACATGGGATGAATAAATGAGTATTGGAAATTCCTGCTCCTGATTGGCCAGTCTCATATTGTGTCCCAAGAAACAGTTGATAGAGCTACGGATAACAAATATTCAGTAACGAAACAAAAACAAAAAACTGGACAATCTATGTCAGACCCTCAAGAATTAAGAGCAAAAATTTAATTTCTGCTGGGCTGTGTCTATCCATTCATATGTCTGTTCATTCATCCATCAGTTCATCAGTGTGTTTATCACAAATTCTATGCATATTTATTCAGAAGGAAGTAACAAAGTGTTCAATGGGGCTTGTTTCTGGGTAGACAAAGGATAATTCTTCTACACTGAGGCAGCTGCCACCGTCTTAATTTTCCCAGAATGCCTCTGGGTCCTATGTCATGATCCAGAGGTGTCTGAGGAAATTAAGTAGAGGCTGCAGCTGCCTGATGTGCACAGGGCCATTTAAAAAAAGTTTTGTCATTGGCATCTGTGGGCAGCATTTGCTGCACCGTGCCGAGGACTATGCCAGACCTGCAATCCATGCAGGACTACTCAGAAGTAAATCTCACTCCATTCAGTAGGGATTAAAAAGGTAAAGCTGCTTCTGGCAAAACCAGAGCAGCGCACGGAAACGCCGTTTACCTTCCCCCCGGAGCGGTACCTATTTATCTATTTGCACTTTGATGTGCTTTCGAACTGCTAGGTTGGCAGGAGCTGGGACCGAACAATGGGAGCTCGCTCCGTCGTGGGGATTCGAACTGCTGACCTTCCAATCGGCAAGCCCTAGGCTCAGTGGTTTAGACCATAGCGCCACCCGCGTCCCTAATAAATCCACATAGGATTTCAGCCAGACACCCACTGAAGTCAATGTGGGAGACTTGTGGCTTAGCCTTGACTTCAGTGGCTGAACTTTGGCTGGAAATGGCATGCAAGAGTCAAAGGGCAACTTACGTTTGTTATAACAACTGTATATGCAGCTCCAAAATCAAGAAGGCCCAGGTGCAGGATGAATTCTTCTGCTCCCACTCTGCATTTGACATTGTTGTATCTTGATATGACAAAGAGGGAACACAATAGTTCCTGGTTAGCCACTCATGACTGGGTGTACCCATTAACAAGATCCTTCAAGCTGATTGAGGGCATTGTATAACCCATGTTTCTGGTTCTGTGTTAAGTACAGTGTGTTATTAGCATTTTAATATTCACAGCTATTGTTTTAGGGACAGCTGAAGAAGGGCACTAATCAAAAACAATTGTGCATTTATTTTGCATTGTACAGTAAATTGCCAGAATTGTTGAAACTTTTATTTCTTTATTTTGCAGCTCTGGTTTTCTTTAAAGACATGGGGGAAGAAGAAGAAGAAGAATATACATCTTAGACCCTGTTCTGCATGTGCAGGTAGGCAAAACTGCAGAGAAGCAATACGGATTTGCCAGATGCCTGGTTTGGTTTTACTAATTTCAGCAAGGCTTACCAACCATAAGGACTGGGAAGAAGAATAACTTTTTTGTACTCAACTTTTTCACACATACTAATTTACTCAGGAGCAAGATGAGATGCACAATGAACATGTGTTTCTTAAAAAGAGACCACAGCTTAGTGGAAGAGCATCTGCCTTGTAGGCAAAAGGTCACAGGTTCAATCTTGGGAACCTCCTGTTAAAAGATCTCTGAGAGCAAAGCTGTTAAAGACCCGTGTGAGAGCTTGGAGGACTCCTGCTAGCCGCACTAGAAGGATTAATACACAGCATTTGTTTATCAGGCCCAGTATTGTTCACTCTGACTGGCAATGGCTTTCTAGGCTTTCAGTCAGAGGTCCTTCACATTACCTGTTACCTGAACTTCTAAACTGCAAATGCCAGGAGTTGAACCTTGGACTTTCTGCCTGCAGAGCATGAGCTGTACCACATGGTCCTTCCTTGCTGTCAAGAGAGGATCAGAACTGTCAGTTCTAACAATGCTGAATTTCCTTGTTATGGACTATGTGGGAAACTGTGATGCCTGCCTTGGACTGGTAGTGCTTAATCCCATCATACATCTACATGATCACTTATGGATATTCCATGCAGTCATTTCAGGCTGAGAAAGCTCTATGTGAGCTTCATTCTTAAACTCAGTGGAGCTTTGTTGTTGTTGTTGTTCTTGTTTGCTTCTTGGAGCATAGGCTATCCACTGAGTTGCCTAGCCCAGAACATCCCCACTGTGTACTTCTCTTCATCTGATTATTTGGATGGGAAGGTATTTGGAAGATATACATGGGGAAACTAGACCAGAACCATACCTTATAATAACAAGAAAGAGCCAAATTTCTAGTGAACTGACCCAGAGATATCACAGAGAGCCCCCAAAGGGAAATGGGTGCTAGCTCAGAGCATGAAAATGTTGACAGCATCTCACCTTCCCCTTGCCAGGGTCCTGTAGCTTGAAACACCGTAACTTTTGTTAATACTGACAAAATCCTCATTGCCAAGAGTGATGTTGACATCCAGGTCCAAAGAATTAATGAATCTGAAAGGAAACTTGATTTCATCATGACAGAAAGTGAATAAAGCGAAAGAAAGCACCAGATATTTCACTGGAGGCATGCAATCTCTTTTTAAAGGGGGCTTCATCTATCTCTTAATTTTTATGATAGTCTTGCCATCCAGAAATACTACCAATTAATCACAGATTACAGTATCCCTATACATTTAACCCCTTGAGACAATGCAATGATGCCCTTTTCCTTTCTAGGAGAAATAAAATGATTTGTGTGGGTAATTCTATCTAAGAAACTCAGTGGGGTGGGATGGCTGAGGGGGGATGGAAACCTTAGTCAAGGGTGCTAAACATTACTCTCCTTCATGATACTACTCCAGAAAGAACAATTTCCTATTGGCTATATTAGGCAAACACTATGTTTTTCAGAAGGCACTGGATAAGTTCCAGAGTTGTATGATTACTTATTTCAGAATGAAAAATAACAAAATCTCAGAGTTCAGGGGCATCACTATGGCTCCATGTAGAGGACATACAGCAGGGGGTGGCTAGTAAGCTCTGATGCTTGTGATTCTCAGCAAGGCGTCTTCCCAAACATCTGTCCAAAACAGGATGCTGAACAACAATTGTTATGCAACTGTTATGAAACTATATCAGACCTGCACAACTCATGACTGACCAAGCTGAGCATAGCCCACCAGGTCCTTGACAATCTACTCTGTTTTGCAGTCAACAGAGGTGAAAGGGACCTTGAAGGTCACCTGGTGCAACTCCTGCTCAATACAGAACCTTCTGTGCATCTCTGGCAGTGGGCTACCTCCTACTTAAATACATCCAGTGAAGGGCAGCCTTTTGCATGGTTTGCACAAATCTTACAATTAGCAGGGTTTTCCTAACAGCCAAGAGTGTTGTTTCCCTGCAAATTGCCACCCACTGGTTCTAGTGGGGCAATGAGAACATCTTCTGCCTGACATCCCTTCACATTTCTGGAGAGAGTGCTACCGTATCTTCCCTTAATCTTTTCTTATGTAGGCAGGCAGCAGAACAGGAGGTTCGCTGTGACCTGGTGAGCCACCATACATGGCTGCATTTGGCTTGAGTTGCTAACTGTGCAAGCCTGACATCTACTGATTTGAAAGAGACCTCCCTTCAACAAATCAGAATGGAATTTCTAACACTGGTACGAAACACAAACCTGCATTATGATTTCCAGCGTCCTCCCTCCTGAAATTCTATCTATTCCTTTGTGTGCTGGCTTAATTTTGCTAGCAATTTAAACGGAATGCTCTATGAACAAGACAGGGTGAATATGTCTTTGGGAGGGTGAAATGGATCCCATTATATCTTAAATATTTCATCTGGGAGGGTAGAGAAACTGTAGGAACATTTTGGATAAATCCCAGCTCAGCACAGTTTGTGAACATTTGCCAGTTCCATGGCACAGCACATACTTGTATGCTAAAGTTCCCAGGTTTGGTCTGGCTTTGTCAATTAAAGGACTGTGTAGGGTTCCCAATTGTGGGGAGGATTTCCTCTAAACATGGAAATGTTGAGGGTGAAGCCAACAGGGACATCCTCATATTATTCACCCAAACTTTAACAGAACGCCTGAATAGCATATTGTAATTCCTTACATCCTCCTGACCTGGAATCCATTGGTTGTATCCAATCTAGTCCAGTCAAATCCAACTGCACAGCGCCTTTTCCCCTCCTTCTGCACCCCCAAAATCTACTCCACAAGGTTCCTCAGCCCTCTAAAGCAGATTCTGAGGTTGCACAGGTGAGAGGAGGGGAAAGTTTTGAAGTGCAAGTCGAAGTCTGCTATGTGGCTGGAACACCAGCACTGGGTACAATGCCAGATCTCCAAAGTGGAGTTAAACTCAACAATGAAGATTTAGTTTTCCCATAAACTTTACAGTGTTCCAAGTCCTAAATAAGCCAAATAGATCTGTCCAGTCTCATGCAAAATGGTAAGTTTCTTTCCATATATTTCCCATTTTCCTTGCAGCTAAGGGCTAGAACCGAATGAGCACCAGCAACCATGTAAACCAAGTGAGTTGTTCCCTGCTGCTTTTAGGTACGCACAGTGTAGACTGTTTCTACTCCTTGCACAATGCAAAGAAAGAAAAAACATTACGGTCTAATGGCTACAGATCTGAACTATCCGGGATTCCACCCACCCCACCCACCGCTTTCTGCAGAATGATGGAGGCTCTGATCCCTAGAGGTGGGCAGTGGACTGCAACACAACAATAATTAGGATAAGAGAAAAAATGGAATTAATTATTGCAATTGATTAATTCATTAATCACAGGCTTTAACAGAGGTTGTAATTTAAAAGATGTATTTTCCCTTCCAAAGAGTGTTCAACAGAAACAACATTTGTAATAAGCAAACTGTGTAGAAGTCTCCACTCATGTAAGGTTTTACAGATGACTTTCCCAATGAATTATGTGAATTGTTATTCAGATGGAAGGGGTGCTCTTTCCTTTATTAATACTCTCAGAATTATCTTCAGTTAATCAGTTTAAAAGCAAGACACATTGCAGGAATAAGAATAAAATAAGGAACATGTATAAGCAATATGGCAAGCTTGCATTTCCTTCTTTAGAACATTATTTTGGTGGGGTAAGGCGGGGGTGGGGGTGGGGGCTGGCTTTCGGATGTTATTGGAGACTCCAACTCCCATTGGCCCCAACCAAGTTGTCAGGGATGATTGGAGTTAAAACCCAGTAAGTTCTGTGTGGAGGGACACAGGTTCCCCTCCCCTGTCGACTCTCATGAGCCCCAGCCAACGTGGCCAAAAGTCAAGGATTATGGGAGTTGTAGTTCACTGATACCAAAATAGTTTCCCATCCTTCACATAAGGTCACTCCCCTTCACCCATATTTCAATCTTGGGCCACTCTGAAGGAAGCATTTCTAATGCCATTTGGGCTTGCATGGTGGATTCATGAACTGTATTACTGCTATACTACTACTACTACTACTACTACTACTACTACTAACTGATACCCGGCCCATCGGGCCGGGTTTCCCCAGCCACTCTGAGTAGCTTACAAGACTGAACCAGAATACCTGACTAGTTCAGCTGTCTCTCTGAGCCTCTTCACAGTTTGCATGGCAATCATGTTGGCTGCAGCAACATCAAAACCATGTGTGCCACATGAAACAGTGGGAATCTGGCATGGGAGACATGAATTGCTAAACACTAAACACTTGCTAAACACTTAGGGATGTACCTAGCAGAGCTCTGACTGGTGGCAGATCTCCATCTCCATCCCTGAATATTTATAAATGCATGCATTCTCCCTTTACATATCTGCTATGTGGAACACTTGTGTAGCCAGTTATGGCCGATGGCATACTGCAATAGATAGGAAGGGCTAGGGAAAGGCTGCCACCCCCGAGCAACAACCAAGACATACACCCATGCAGGGACATAGTCTGGGGTTGTCATGACCGGGGGCACTTGCCAAGGTTTACACCTCAGCAAGGAGCCCACTGCCAGTCCTCTGGTCCTGCTCCACTCCCCTGTTGAAGTCCCTGCCTGTTCACATGTACTCTTCCAAGTTTACACACAGATTGTCAAGAGCTGCAGACTCCCTCTCCTTCTGGAGAGCACAATGGATCGGGACCAGAGGGAAATGGCGATTGACTGACCCACTTGGGAAGGTGACCCACTGAAGGCATCTTGTCCAAACGCTTTGCAAAATGTGGAGAAAACACAGCACCCTTTCCCTGGGTGGAGAGAAGCAGCTGCAAGGAGCCAACTGAATTCAGCATTGTATAGATGTGTGTGATGTGGCTGCTTCAGAGTGCTCAGCGGGAACTGCTGCAGTGGTTGTTCCTAACCAATCAGCAGCTGCATATCTGCACCATTTGACTTCCCTGCCTCCACCATCACCTTGCATTTCCAACTGCTAAAGTTCTCCTCTTCTTTGGTCACTGCTTAGTGATAATAGACTCTTCCTACTACTTCCTACCTTTACACTCTCACTGGGTGCAGCCATAGCAAGCATAATTGCCATATAGTACAGCTTTCATTGAAACACACTGATGAGGCCCAAGCTCTGGCTGAGCCTGTGTTAACGGCTTCTGTCAAAGCATGGAATTAGAGCAGCAAAGAAACAGGTCACCCAAATCCAGTTCACACCTCACAGCAGACATGCCTTCTGATGGCTTTCCCCCCATATCTTTAATCTGAAACCAAAGGAAAACAAAATCAGTACATGGTTTCTGCTTACATGCAAGCTTTCTAACGAGCAAAGAATTTGTAAATAAAAATTTAAAAAAACCATGGGTTCTGAATGTGAACTTATTAAATGGAAGGATATGTTTGAAATGCTCTTTTTATCAGGTCCTACACGGCTTGATTTCTGGTAGGAAGGTTCCTATCCAATTCATAACCTACCAGGCTCGCACTGGTGCAAATGACAGGCAAGGCAACTTTCTCATCTCGCTAAAGCTAAAAGCTAAAATGGGACCCTGTTTTGCCCAGGCATGCATTGATCTACTTTGTGACAAAAGCAGGTGCTTCACCAGCTGCACTTAGGGCTCATCCAGATGTTCTTTTGTGCCCAGCGCCTCCCCCCGAAAAACCCACTCTTTACTGCTGAATTGGAGCAAACAGCAATCAGCAGAAAACCCAAATTACTGTTTGTTATCATTTAGCATTAAAGGATGGGTTTTCCTGGGGCAGGGGGCAAAAAATGAAAAAGTGAAACCAAACAGTTGGACACAGAGCTTTAAAGTGCAGGGCAAAAGGTAAGTGTGAACAAGCCCTTAGTTTCCACAAAACATGGAGGAGTGGAGAAGATCACCAGGGTCTGGGTCAGCACTGAGTTGAGAAAGAAGTGGTGGAGAAGTACACACTGAAGCATTGCAGTGAGTCCATGTGAAACCACATGTCTGGAGGGCCTCTGGAGCAGGACTCTTCAACCTTTCCATCCACCTTTAACCCAAACATGCACTTGGAGACCCAGTTCTTAATTTTTAAGCATGCATTTTTTTGTGGAAGTGCTGCCATTGTGACCCACCTTAGATCAGGCTGCGACCTTGAAGTGGGTGTCCCGACCTATCAGTTGAAAACCAGAGGTCTAGACAAGTACGTAGCACCTTATACACATTTCTCAATTCTAAATAGCAGATGAATATTTAATGGACTGTCTGTGACCTTTCTTTCCTACAGAATGGTTAAGGCCTAAGCTTTATCACCACAGCATAGCAGATCATGTTGGTTAAGAAATTGAATGCATAAAGCTTTTTAACTGAAGGTTAGGGGATGAAAGATGCAGGAGGGGAATGGTGGGAAATCTCACACAGATCTGAAGAATGGAAGATACTATCCAATTACATCCTTCCACTATTGGAAGTTTTCCATCAGCAGAGGGATACAACTGGATACAAACCACAGTTACTTCTCATTAAAAGGGCTGGGAAGAGATATGCATTGCTGAATTTTCACATATTCATCCAAAATAGCATTTTTAAAATCTGAACAATTTTTTTTAACTTGCAAGTTTCTAGATAATGGTTGTAATCTCTATAATATCACTCCATAAACTGAGTGTGCTACACAGAACTTTCTCAGGGCACACAAACAGGACTAGTGAGAGGGCCCCAGTTGTCAGTAACAATTCCAACAGCTGGGCAGTCCTTTACACTTAACTGTAATGACTTTTGGAAGAGGGTTTCTTCCCAACCTTTTCACTTCCATGTCTATAAAAGGCCTTTGAGTGCTGCGTGGCTTATATTTGGTAAACAGACAATAAATTGTAAAAGGAATAGTAGATAAACATGATTAATAATGAACAACTAGTTTGCAAACAGTCCACAGCAGCATTTCCCTTGATAATGAATTCAAGCTGATTAGCATCTCACTAGCGGATCCAGCCAGTTATTGGTGCTAACCAACAATGATTAATTTTTCAGCCAGTGGCTGTGATGCCATCAAATATATGGAGATGCTGCAGCAATCATTCTCTTCCTGAATCCCACCAAACAAACAAAACAAATAACCAGGCTTGCAAAAGCAACAGGGCTTAAACTGAAAACAAGCCCCATGTATATCTCCTAAGAAACAGACCCACTGAGTTCAATGGACCTTATTCCCAGGTAAGTGTTAGTTGACTTGTGTGATGTCTTGCTAATGAACAGGGGATGCAAAGGCAAAGGCAGAAAAAAATATGTGCACATCCCGATGTCTAGTGGCAGCTTTTGCAAGAGCCTGAGAATAGAAGCACTGAGGGGCAAATGTCTGTTTCATAAGAACATGGGAAATAAAATGAAAAGAGAGGCATAGGTCTAGGGGCAGCAGCAGACAGTGAGAGAAAGCTGGGAGTCATTGGGAGAGGAAATAAAACTCTATTGCAGAAAGAAGACCTCTGACCTTAAACTCCTGTCAGGACTAGCTCTGTCATTAGACTCAGCCACAGAGGATACTACATGAGCTGCTTGTTGAAATAAAAAATGACTGCCAGCCCAGTCAGCTTCTGTACTACATAGAAAGAGGGAATGGCATCTGGTTGTTCCTTGCCTCATGAATCAAAATGTCCTGCACTGCATGCATGGTAAAGGTAAAGGGACCCCGGACCATTAGGTCCAGTTGTGGACAACTCTGGGGTTGCGGTGCTCATCTCGCTTTATTGGCCGAGGGAGCCGGCGTACAGCTTCCAGGTCATGTGGCCGGCATGACTAAGCCACTTCTGGCGAACCAGAGCAGCGCACGGAAACGCCGTTTACCTTCCCACTGGAGCGGTACCTATTTATCTACTTGCACTTTGACATACTTTCGAGCTGCTAGGTTGGCAGGAGCAGGGACCGAGCAACGGGAGCTCACTCCGTCGTGGGGATTTACTTTTGTGCTGCTAATAATCAAGGGCAAGTTTTCCACGGGGAGGATTTCAACATCGTGTTAAGGTGATAGTTCTGAAAGGGCAAACATTTCAGCTTGCCAGGCAGAATGATCCTCTCTCCCCCCACAGCACAACCCCCCACCTCTGAGCCAATTTTGGGGGCAACACGGAGGGAATAGCTGGGAGCAGGGAGCCCCATTGCAAAGTGGAAGTGTTTGTGCAGGGATCCTGCTAATAGGTTTCATTCATTGAAACTCGCCCACAGTATGGTACTTACATCTTTAAAGAGTATTACTATTATAGAATGTTTAGGTCAAACATCAAAATCATATAGTTCAATCCCTTTATTTTGGCCTGATTCCCTTGCCCATCATCTCTTTATAGAAAACATTAGCCTATCATCATGCAAATTACATTGTGCAAGAAGCAGAGAACAGCAAAAGCTGCCTCATCATTAAGTCTTTGGCTCTGGTTTTGCTGCTTCTATGTAGATTTCTGCAGAAAGAGAGAAGTTTGCTTAATCATGTGGCCTATTCTGTCAGCTTAATGGCTGTTCTGTTCATTTGCAAAGAGCCTAGAGTCTAGAGAATTTGTGTCTGTCGTGAAAACAAGGAGAGATTTAAATCACAAATGCAGGGTTCATTGTCAAATCAAAAACTTATCTTTTTTAAATAAAAAATGTAAAAGTGATTTATTGTAAGTGCTTTAGTACTTCCAAATGGCCAATGTAACTCTAATGATTCTGATGGTTTTTGGTACGGTCATTTTGGTGGCTTCTATTCCAAATTACTATGGTGTCGTGTTAGAGCAGTGATTAAACATATCTCATCACCTAATTGATTTATCTAATCTGCCATTCTACAGCCTCATTGCAAACTTTATTTTATGTGAAAGACTTTTGGAAAAAAGTTTCTTCTTGTCCTCTACTCTTTTTGTAGGGCTTTGCCATCCAGTAGGTCTTATTCTGATCTCCCATTGCAGTGTTTGGCAGCTTAAATTGGGTCTAGCAGCTCAAAAGCTATAAACCACCTAGCAGAAGTGATAGCAGAGGCAGTACCACTTGTTAAGACATCAAAATTAATCGTAAGTCCCTCATGAATAAGTAGATGAGATAATGAACTAGTTATCTCTTACTAATTGCATTGTGATATCCGCTCAATAGATGTTATACTTTTCATTCTAGGATGAGAATTGCTTCCTATTTAGAATCTGTGAGGCAATCTGCTACCATGCCTACCAAAATCAAATCATAGCTTTGGATTCCAAGGAACATGGATAAACTTTTTGGAAGATAGCCCTAAGTATGGGAGTAGAACTAAGCCAATTTATTTTCAAAAGATATTCCTTATCACTAACCACCTAGGGGGGAAAGCCACTTTGACAGATTTTTCTCCAAATATTATTCACCATTTTTATGGCCCACCCCACCAATGCTTCAGAATGACACATGGACCAGGGCATTGTTTGAGACAATGAAAATGGTAGCTAGGTTAAAAGAAATCCTCTTGGGGTGGGGTGGGGGGAAGCTAGAAGCTGTGCTAGTGCTACCTTTAAAGCAGATCACCAGTCCCAATAATTTTTTGGAGAACTTTGCACCCTGGAGAAATTTGGTGAAATGGTTTCTCAAGCTATTTCCCCACGGATACAGGGAAGAATTTTGAGAGGCCATTTGCATGCATCTCTAGTCTGGAGGTACAAAACTTAAAATGCAAAAATTAGAAAATGGGATGATATCAGGTCCAGCACATTAATGTTCTCTGCTTGTTGGCTGCAAACTGGAATCTTCCTTACAGGATTATGTAGGTTGTTGGATTTTCTCAAGTATCTGACATTGCCCTACTCGATTTCCTCACTTACTAAATGGCTTGTTAGGCTTCTTTCCACCTTGTAGACAATTAAGCTGTACACTGACTTTTCGTGGGCGGTAGAATTAAACATGAAAGATGATCCTTGATACTGTATCTTCAAATGAAGGTTTTGTTGGCCATCTCCCAGAATCAATTTGGTGTACTCAGCAGGATCCTGAGCAAAATGAAAGAAAGAAAACAATATATTCACTGTGCATGAAAAAAAATTATTTCAGTTTATTTTTATCCATCATTTCTTAATAAACTGTGAACTTGCACCTTCGCAGCTGTGCACATGTGCACATCCCAAAGATTTTATGCAATTTGTCAGAAAAAGACTCATAAGATGGTTCATGGAGTAGGTAGCCTGAAAGAACTATTATTAGCACTTATGTAATACTAGACTGTACAAAGCATTTTGTCAATGACCCAACATTCCCATTGAATAGGCCAATATTATTGGGCAGTAGCCAACACTACCATTCTGCTAGAGCAATGGATATGGCTAGCAGAACAGAACCTGGCTCCCCTCTCCCCTGCAGCCCCCCAGCACCCTCAAAACCAGCTCGAAAGGGTTGGGGGACTGAACCCTTGGTGCTGCCTTGGATACAACCCATTGTCCCCATACTGCAGGTACGAACCTATCTGCAGGTTGTGCCTGTTTTACTATACAGTGGGAGATTAGTAAATAGGCTGTTGAATCTTTTAAGTGATCCTGTGCTTTTAATTTAAGTTTTTGCCCTTTTGTGGCTTTCCCCTAATTTCTGCTGGAAGAATAGTGATGAATTGCCCCTTGATTGCCCCTTGAATGGGTTCTTTAACTTCTTCCTTGTTGTCAGTTCCTGCTCCAGCAGTGGAACAGGGATGTTAGTTACTAATGATCTCTTTCTCATTTTTATATAGCAAAATAATGTAATTTCACTATGCAAAAAAAAAAAAAAAAGAAGGAAAAATTGGGAACTAAAACCACCCCATGGGAACAAGAGCAATTTGTTCATGCTGGACAGATTACCCCTGCAATTTACAGCACACACACATCACATCACAACAATTCAGGTTTAACAAAAATGGGAGGACAATACAGAAAATGGAATACAATACTCTGCCAATGATGTCATCTGTTTTCTCTGAAAAGGTGAGTTAACTAAGGATGGCAATTTCAGACTGAACTGTTAGTGTAGAAGAAACCTAAGTTTCAAGCCGCTCCGCTCCACTAGCTCTCACATCTAGATGAATGAGGTGGGCAGGAAGTTCAACTTCAAAAGGGAAGCCAAAAAATATAAAAGGTGGACATGACCAAGCTCCAGCCCAGACTTCTTCAATGAATTCCAAGCTTCTGCATGAACAAATCAAAGGAAGAGGAGCGCAAATGATAACACTCCCTCCTTAACTGAGTTTCGGTGGCAAATCATGCAGAAAGCCTGCCAGCTGGATACACTGCATGCTTGAACTTACTTCTGATAACCCTAGAATTATGAAAAAGGGGAGAGAACCACACTTTCAGTGCTTTTGGTTAACCACCCCATTCTTTATATTCTTCCTGTGCACTTCTTTTAATTTTTCCTGTTCTAGCATGTTCCTTTCAGATCTAAACTGTGACCTATGGGAAACACAGATCATATAAAGAGGCTTTTTGGGGAATATATTCATCCCAGAAGATTTAACCTTTTTCCCCTAATTATAAGTAAATATAGTCAGCCATCTGTGCCTTTTTTGTTGAAATACGCTGGGGAGGATGGGGATTGCTGTCAAAGGCACAGTGCCCTGTAGAAACGTGTCACCGCTCCATATGGTAGGACAGACACAGGGGAAGGAAGGTCAAATCTTCTTGTTCTTCTGAATATATGAGGAAATGGAAGCTTTCTTTGTCATACAGAAGCCATTATCATAATGACTGAGAAAGGATCCATACAATAATAAATACATATGGAATGTAAAACACAGAACCAATAATTATCATGGTGTGTGATAACAACAACAACAAAACAACAACAATATTGTATACTGCCCTTCATCCATAGATCTCAGGGCAGTTCACAGTATCTTTCTGTGGTATCTGTCTGTGGTAACTTGGAAAGTTGAGTATTAACTTTGAAAAGGAATGATCTTGCCAAGGAAATAACCATTAACCTCACCTGAAATGGTTTGATCGGCTGTTGAAATAGGTCATAATCCTGGATTGCCACATCAATATCACTGTCTGCCAAATTCAGGACCTGAATGTAGCTTTCTTTTGAAACTGGCTTTGGCACAGCATTTTCCTAATGGAAATAAAGTGCATAGCTATAATACTACAGTAGGTAACTGTAATATTAAGCACTCAGTTAGTCAAAACCCCTTTCCCTCCTTTACTGAAGCTGTACAATAGCAACAGAACATAGCTCTTAGTTATAGATATATCGATGGTTGGTAGTTATTATAAAAGAGGCATAAAAGACTTTTGAAAACGTTGCTGTAAAAGAGGTGTGTTCCACACATGCACAGACTTTTCCTCTACTTGATAATATATACAAGAATATACATACAGGTGGGTTTCTTTCTAACTTTAGGGCTGATGTTACCTTTTGTGATGTGATCATCACATCTTTGTGGCCATGTGTCACATTGCACCATTCATGTTTGGAACAGGAAGTGTGTGTGTCCAGGAAGACGTCCTACTCATCTGAGATGAACCAGAAACATCTGCCCATCTCACGTGGTCTTCCTGTTCCAGGTATTAGCAGATTAGCATGGGACCCAAGCATGAAGAACCAGCAGTTGCACCACAAAGGACAAGAACTGGACCTGGGCACTGAGTCTCAGGCAACATGCACTTGTTATGAGTTCCAGCGTGCTATTGCTAGGATTATGTCTGTCAAATATGTGGTATGAAGGCAATATTCTTTTGGAATTGGCTTCAACATAGCCTTTCCTAATTAAAAGAGTATGCCACAATATAATCACAATGATTCCCTGAATTCTGGTTATTAATGATCCAGATCAGATCCAGATCACTTTCTGATCTACAGATTCATGACACTCAATCTCTGTTCCAAAATAAGGACCTGAAACCTTAGAGTATTTTAAAATTGTGTATTCAGGAGCCAATACCAGGGAGGATGGGTAGTGCATTGGTACATATAGGTAGGAAGCATGTATCTTTACCTCTTTGCTTCATACAGCTGCTCAGCGCTTACCTCTATCCTGAGTTCTACAACAGCTGCAACTGCAAATGCCAGGCCCGCAAGGATCATGCCAGTTGCCATCTTTTTAATGGGTCTGATAGTAAATAAACACAACTTAATTACAAAAAATGTGTAATTTAAGATGAATCATGCGATTCCTCTGAGTCCGAGATCATTGCACATTAAGCCATATGAACAGACAGAGGCTGTTCTTTTAACATAAAACCTCCATATTATATTATTATGAGGCTATAACCGAGGCCCATTCAAATTGATAAGCTATTTAAAAAATGCTCTGTGCTAGCAAGTTTCATATTATCTTCCCCTTAGCTCTTCTAGGAAGGAACGTTGTTTGGCATTTAGTTAATGTGTGAAGTGGAGGAAAGCACCACTGATGATCTATCTCCAACTCCCTTCTAGGACAGCAGACAGAAAAATTGCCTTGGGTTATTGAACTACAAGTGCTGAAGGCATGTAAGAAATAAATTGCACATCTCCCAGAGCACCTATCATGACCAACATTTTCAAAATGTGATATCTGTGCTTGTGTGAATATCCCTTGGGCCTAAATGAAGTGAAGCACAAGTTAGGAGAGTGTTTTAATAGGTAAAGATGCTCTACTTTGACAGAAAAAGATTGGAAGGTTGTAAAAATACTGGTGCCTCCCACCACAAACCACTAAAACTAGAAGATGCTGGTGCTTGCATGCAGTCCCTCTGCTTTGAGGGGATATCTAAAAGCTGCAGAAAAGTCCATCTTTTTTTAACTAGTAGGCCACATTTTCCTAGAACTCACAGGCTATAGAGATTGAAGGAGATTCTCCCTTCTGTTACCTCTCCATCATAAAACTATCCATACTTGATCTTAGACATTTTCAACCTACAAGAGTATGTGCATCCATGAATCTGTACTGCATTTTCTACATAAAAGGGGGAAAAGTTCAGGTACTTACGTGAAATTAAATTTGCACAGGTTCACCAAGGGGTACAGCCCGAAGTCAAAAACTGGGATGAAGACAAGGATCAAGAGAGGATTTAAGAACTGAAAAACCAAATGATGCATTATATTAGCCATTTATGGTAACTTAGGCTACAGTCCTAAATACACCATAGGGAGTAATTCACAACTGGTGCTGATGGAATGCCAGGATACAGTCTGTAATTATATAGATGAAGTGGTTAAACAACGAATCGCTGGTGCTATGCCAGTGCCATCAATACGAGTTCCGACACAGTAGCAACGTGCCCTAGCTGACAACCATTGCCTTACCTGCATCTGGTCAGGTTGAAGGACAAACCCTCCCTGAAATTAAAGGATTGAAACTGGTTAGCAAACAAAATAAGGGAACTGTGGCAGAACTGACATCAGTGAAGCAGACAGCTAACACATGCGGGAGGATGAAAGGAACAATGCTTTAGAAGCAAGCCATCTGCTGAACATAACAGAGATCCTATAGCAGAAAGCTTCATTGCATTTCAGACCAAACTGTATTTAGACAACATCTCTAAACAGACGTGGGACTAGCCACAGGGACACACTGTTTGTTTAACAACAGGACTGTATCTATTTATGAATTTCATAATGTATCATGAGCATTTGTCTGATTCCTCAGTCAGGCTCTACTGGAACTATGTTCTCAGCCCTGCCCTGCTCAGTCGCCTGGTCATGTGTCATGATTCCTGACCTCTGAGACCTTGTAGTGCACAGCAGTGGACACCAATGGTGACAAGATTCAGACCACTTCCTCATGGAGATAACTGTCAGTATCTTATTTGGGGCCCTCCCAGTGCAATGACACAGCCCTGCCACCATTCTTGGACTCAGATGATGAGACCCTTGCAGGACCTCCATCCTCTTAGACTTGCAGAAGTCAAAGACTGCAAAATCGGGCAAGGGCGCTTCCATAATTCAGCCACCTTTCACTCTCTGCTGAGACATCATCTTCATATAATAACCTTAGTCAAAGAGAGTTTCAGCCAGAAGTCCAAGATCCTATTTTGTCCACCCACTGCATGAAAACACTTTTGAGCTGGCTTTGCCTACCTTGACTGAACATTACTGTTGTTGCTGATGGTAATAATACAAAGTAGGCTGAAAATCATGACAATACTATGATAAAGTAAGTGGAAGACCACGAAGATGATCGTAATGTGTTTTATCTATTTTTAGCTACTGTTTAATAATATTTTGAAAGCTTTTAAATACCTGGTTTTACTGAAAAGTTTGATGTTTTATTTTATATATCTGTAAATCACTTAGAGGGTCTTTTTATTATCAAGCAGTACACAATTTTTGTTAAATAAATAATATGACACAGTAGGCTAAAGAGCAAATGGGAATTCCCTTAGGGACTCTCAGAATTTCACTGAGCCAAAATATATTAATTGCTGGAGGATACTCTCCATATCTCTTCTATTCCATATTAAATTGTTCTCCCATCCTGCCCCCCACTAGTCATTAAGTCTATAATTATTGTTTCGTTAGAGATGCACTTATTTTGAAATCAATAGAAGTGTGACCCTTTATTACACTGCCAGCCCATAATTTAAACTACTGACTTGAATTTGTTTAATGAAGAAATATAATTATCGTGAATGAACCCTATCTACTTACAAAGTCAGCATTCATTTTAGTGGCTTGCAGTGTCCACCTAGAACCCTATGAAGAAAACAGATCAAAATGAATACCATGGAGTACTGCATGCATGGCCAACATTGGAAAGAAAAGCAATAGCAAATTACCAAAAAGCGCCATGAAATATTGTTAAGGTTCAGAACATGAAAATGCATTCATCATACATTCTTAACATATATAATAATTGCAGTTAAATGAAAGCATGTGCATTTTCTCCTTATCTGTTATCAGAAACAGAACCTTGCCAATTCTTTTCCTAAATGCCTACCCTTTGAATAGGGAGAAAATCCACAGAATCACATTTAGCAAACCAAGAAAAGGCTAAAGCAACAGGTAGAATTATGCATACAACCAAGGTAGGAAGGCTGTTCTTAAAAATGGAATCAAATGTAATATTTTCTAAGCAATACCCAGTTCTTGACATGTATATTTCCCACACAAGGAAGTATCTTATTCATACCTTTTCTGTTAGTCAAATGCTGTAAGAAACCCAGAAACAATGTTTCTCAATGAAAATGAAAATAAGTACGGTAGTTAGGGATGGATTCATCTTCAAGGGCTTATCTGTGCAATCCACCACATGTCTATTGAGAAGCAAGTCCCATTGAGTTCAATGGAACTTATTCTCATGTAAGTGTGTGTAGGATCTCATCATCTATCTTGATTGTGACAATTGGTATAAATAAATTTGATATAGGCTTGTAGTGTATATGTGCCCCAGGATCTCTTAAGAGGAATGGAGGTGGGGCAAATATATGCTCACTACATCATTGGACTTAAATATCCACATGTGTAGGGATTGCCATTGAAAATTTAAACAGAATGATATGTTCTACAGTGTCTGGCACATTCAAAGAACATCCACAATGTCTATCATTTCTGGGGATGTTTGATTATCTGCTCTTGACAAAAGCTGAGGGACCAATGCATTTTTGTACATTGTTCTCACTACAGGCATTTTATTGCATATTTTACCCTAGCATATGCATTTTTAAATATTTTACTTTGCTGTAGAACTGCATTGCAAAATTTGGAGAAGTGAAAATTTCCAACAGTGGTTGTGTTTTGGTTTGCATAGTGTTGTGAAAAGTGCAAGTTAGGTAGGTTCACCTTTAAATACAAGCTGAATTTAATTTGGTCTCTAATAATATCAGAGGGTTTCTTGTTCTGTTTAATTGCTGGAATGTGTGCATTACAGGAAACTTTTCTACTGTCCATTGTACAACCAGCTACACAAACATGTGCTATCCCCTTTTTTGGGTAGTCTAACATCACGGCACAGTGAAAATATTAGTTTCTATCTGTCTGACATTAACCTGGAAGTAACTGCAAGGGTGGCTGAGTTTTTGTCAATAGTATCTCTTAGATACTATTGGCACTATTTAGTGAGAAGCAATTCCAATGAAAATCCTCATTATTACATATTCTACGTGGCTGTTTATTTGTATATATTTTAAAATTTTATATATGGATGTTTTATCATGGCCTATACTTGTAATGCCTAATAAAGGTTTGGCGAAGTTAAAAATGCATTAGATTACGGGAAATTGCATTGCAATGATATGTGTTAGGAGGTAAAACTGCATACAAAATTGTGCATGTTTGGAGCAATTTGCTGATGAATTTTCATGACAGCTTTTTAAAAAAAACAGTTCAGAAAACTAGAGAACCGAACATAAGACTGTGAAAGTCACCGGTGAAGGTCACCTTTTACTTTCATACACAGTGGTGTAGTGGTAAATTCTGAAGGGCAGGAGCTAATCAAGGAGTCCTGTGGCACCATAAAGTCTAAGGTTTTTTTGTACCCTGTCTGTATCCCTATACCTAGTCATTTGAGAGTAAGTTCCATTGATCACAGTGGTGTTTACTTCTGGCTGCATAGGTTTAAACTTGCAAAGCACACTGAAATTTAAGAAAAGATCTCCAGCCCAGCTGAAATGTAGCCTTAAGCTTTTTATTAGAAATGAAAACAAGCTTGCAAAGATGTACTACTGCCATTTAAATTGCTAACCTAACCTGCTGTAATGCAGAAACCCCATTAAAGGAAAGGACCTGAAAGCCTTATTGCTAGCTCAATCACTTGCCAGAACAAAGTGTGTCTGCCAATTACCCTGGTGCTTTACCCAATGATGTCATTGCTCCTGTTCTGAAAAAAAGTCCTGCAGCTGCATTATCTTGATACTGGGGCTGAGGGGTACAGTGAAGCCACACTAGATAGTACTGCACATTACCTGTTGATCAAAGAGAGCCCAGAACATTGGCAGTGGTATGAAGAGAAACAGGACCCGTGTCACCATTTTAACTTCAGTTATCAGTTGGTTCTGTGAAGGGAAACACAAAGCAAAAGGCAATAATGGTTAGTCGGAAAGAAAGGTCTACAAGCAACAGTCTCAGACATTATAATTTTGCTGCATGGAGGTGAACTCTGTGTAGGAAAATATGTGTGTTTTCCCTAATATCAACTTTTATGCTTTAAGTACACCAGTTCTGCAGTTGATGTGTTCAGGTACTTCTCAATCTGTTCAGCTCCGTTGTGGAACATTTTAGATGCAATGACTTTGGAGGCTGATGCAAAGAGAGCTATGCCTATGCATATTTGGGGTGACCCAGTTACTGCAGAATAATCACACATGGCAGATCTGGTTATGGATATTTGAGCAAATGTACTGTAAACAATGTGAGCTAATATAGCAAGCACAAGGGAGGAACAAAGAAAACGGGTAGGCAGACACGCACTGCACCAAATCAATGTATCTCAGTATCAGGGAACACACTACTTTTTCAGGTATACACTAAAATCGTAAGGTGTGATTGTGACAAACACATGCCTATAATAGAGGCACACTAACCACAGAGCTGGAATTGGATGCACCTTCCTGAACAGTGTGCTCATGGTGGCAAACTTGGGTTAGTTCAGATCTAAACTCCTCTGTTCTTGGGTGCTTTGTTTTGGGAGAGGGACAGTTTACAAACAAATTTCCACTATGGCTGATGTTGGGAGCTTCAGTTTCCCTGTATTCACCCTACGATTCCCGGGCAGTGTTGCAAAGATGTGTATTCATTTCATAAAGGAAGCACACATGCACAAAAAAACTGAAGTCAATTTAGGGGGGGGAAATGTATTTTTTGTACATTCTCTGAAGACACTTACAGTGGTCTTCAGGAGACACTTGCAGTGATTTTGAATGACGATGAGGAGAGTTGATCCATTTCTACATTCTAGCTGTTATACTCTGATAGCTCACATCTTACTGGAGGAATATATATTAAAATACTTCAGATCCAAATATTGACTTACTGAGTATTTTTCTGAGGCCCAGTCCAGCCAGTGATCCCTTTTAGGAATGTGCCGGGATCGATTTTTGATCCGGTTTGTAACAGCAAACTAGAGGGGAATAAAAGCAATTGAGAGATGTGTAGGTTATGGAGTTTCTCCTACATTTGTTTGACTTAGTCCACTGCATAAAGCCCATTACAATTAATTACATCATTTCTTACACAATCTTCTATTGTTTTATTGACCCTACTCTCATGCCATATATCATGAGTGGAGAACCTGTGGCCCTTCAGATACCATTGGACACTAACTCCCATCAACCCCAGCAAGCATATTCTGTGGTCAGGGACGATGGGAATTGCAGTCTAGCAACATCTGGAAGGCCACGAGTTCCTCATCCCTGTCTTAAATAAGGTTTCATCCTTTTCGTTGATTCATTGGATGACTTCCACAAGACACAAAGGATATTATTTTCTGGGTAATGGCATTTGTTGTATGAATAAGGCCTTGGGTTCTAAACCCCTTTGTCCAGCAAAGCAAATCATGGCATGCGTGGCATGCTTGATATTGTTCCTGCAATTCTTGGTCTTTTTCTTTTCACAAGAAAAAAGCTGCTGGTAAGCTCCATATCTGTAGTTGACCGCATATCTGCAGTGTCCTTTATTTTGGATTTTTTTATTATTATTTTTTTGCTTTTCTAATATTTTATTAAGGATTTTCTTGTTTTACAGAAGTAAGTGTAATGCCTCATATTTTTTTTCCATGTAACATTTTTACAAATCCATTTCATTTGTTGAGGCATTAGGGGGAGAAGAAAAAAAAAGAAAGAAAGGAAAAAGAAAGGGGGAGTGGGGGGAGGGAAGATGGATGGGGGTGGGGTCGGGTGGCGATGTTTCTATTATGCTTAATGTATGTAGAGTTTGGTGTCAGCGTTACTTGTGTTCCTTTGGTGGTGAGAGAGGTTGGGGTTGGCCTAGGGTGTGATTGGCTGTGGTGATCTTTGTTTTCGTGTGTGAGTGAGGTGGGTGGGTGTTTTGGATCAGGTTAGCCATATTGATTTGTATGCTGTTGGTGGATTATTGTCATTGTCTTGTTGGGCTGTGTATGTGATAAAGGGGAGCCATACCGGGGTGAAGGCGTCTTCTTCTGTTTGTCCCCGTGTCAGTTTCAGTTTATTAGTTAATTTTTCTAGTAGGGCTGTTTCCCATACTATTTGGTACCATTGGTCCATGCTTACTCCTGACAGGTCTCTCCAGTGTCTGGTTATGGTGTTTCTGGCTGCTGAAAGTAGGTGGGTTATGAGTTCTTTGTGGTGTAAATGGGCATTGTTGTCTTGGAAGATGTTTAGTAGGGCCAATTCTGGGGTGATATCTAATACTTGCTTAGGTATTTTACATATTTCTCGTATGGCTGTTGTCCAGAATAGTTGGATTTTGGGATACTCCCACCACATGTGGAGGTATGTGCCTGTGAAGGTGCACCCTCTCCAGCATTTTGGTGAGGTTCCTGGGCGTATTAGCGCTAGTTTCCTTGGTGTTAGGTACCACCTGTAGGTGAGATTCAGTGTGAGTTCTTTTCTTTTCGTTGATATGGATTTAAAGGGGGGTTTAGACCACATTCTGGTGCATTGAGTGGGGTTAATCTCATAGCCTATGTCATTCTCCTATTGTTTTTTGATTGCGTCTAGGGGTTTGTGGGATTTTGGAGTAGTATTTTGTATATTGCGGATACCGTCCCTTTACCGTTTCCCTTTGTTGTTAGGAGGAGGTTTTCGAAGGTTGTCAGGGGCCTAGTTGCTGCTAATTTTACTGTTGGGTTGTTTAAGAGGGCATGTAGTTGGTGTTGTGTTAACCAGGGCATTTGGGTGTCTTCTAGTTTGTCTTGTATTTCTTGTGTTGACAAAGGTTTGTTATTTTTATAAAAGTCTATTAGGCAATATAAGCCTTTGGTTCGCCAGGTTTTATCTGGAGGTTTTGTGCTGCATGGTGGAATAATGGGTGGTACGCCAGGGGGATTAGTGGGGATGGGGTTGGGGATAGTTTGCCTATTTGTGTTTTCCATGCTTTGAGCATGGTCTGTGTCTACCTGTTGAGTGTTGTGGGAATTTTCTTTAGTTTGTTTGGGAGGAGTGGGTATGTTGTGGTGCAGGTATTTTCAATTGTGTCCCTCTCTAGGTGTACCCATTGTTTTGTCTCATCTTCGAGTATATATGGGATTATATGGCGTATTTGGTTGGCAATGTAATATGCTTCTGTGTTGGGGATTCCCCATCCTCCTTCTGAGGTGGGGAGGTGCAGGTATTTGGGGCTTATTCTTGGTTTTTTATGTGAGAAGATGAAAGAGTGTAGTTTTCTCTGCCAACTGCGGTGTTGGGTTGAGGGGATCCAGATTGGGAGGGTTTGGAATAGGTAGGTTAGTTTTGGGAGTATGATCATTTTGATAATGGCTATTTTGTCTGAGAGAGTGAAGTTCATGTTATTCCATCTCTTTAGGTCTTTGTTAATTTGTCGCCACAGCGGCTTGTAGTTGTGGAGGTACAATTTATTGAGGTTTCTGGTTATTTGTACCCCTAGGTATCTGAACTTGGTGTGGCAAAGTTTTATTTTGGTGACCTTCGTGAGTTCTTTTTGGGTGTGAGGAGGGGTGTTGAAGCACATAGCTTCTGACTTTGTAAAATTTACCTGTAGGCCCGACACCATTGCAAATGTATTGAGTTCTCTGATTAGGGAGGTTGCTATGCTTATGGGGTCTGGTGTTGTGACCATTAGGTCATCTACAAAGAGCCCTAATTTATAGGTTCTGCCTTTTATTTACCGTATTTTTCGTTCTATAGGACGCACATTTCCCCCTCCAAAAACTAAGGGGAAATGTGTGTGCGTCCTATAGAGCGAATGCAGGCTGCGCCGCTAAGCCCAAAGCCAGAACAGGAAGACGGAGCACTGCGGAGCGCTCCGTCTCGCTGTTCTGGCTTGGGAACAGCCTGCTAGCTTCTGCAGGACAGCGGGGTGAAGGCACCCCGCTGCCCTGCAGAGGTTTGCGCGCAGCCCTCCCAAGCTAGAGCAGACGGCTGCACGCACAGCCTCTGCAGGGCAGCGGGGTGCCTTCACCCCGCTGTCCTGCAGAAGCTAGCAAGGCTGTTCCCAAGCCAGAACAGCGAGACGGAGGGCTCCGTCTCGCTGCTCTAGCTTGGGGACGGCTGCGCGCAAACCTCTGCAGGGCAGCGGGGCGCTGCGCTCCAAAGGCTTCAGGGATCTTTGAGGCTGGCGGTGGGGGAAAGCAGCGCTTCCCCCCACCGCCAGCCCCACAAGCTCTGGTGAATGTACCTTGAACGCACCTTGTTTTGGAGGGGGAGAACAAGAAAAAAAATCTTTTTCCCTGTTCTCCCCCTCCTATGATCCGGTGCGTCCTATGGTCCGGTGCGTCCAATGGAGCGAAAAATACGGTATTTTGGAAATGTTGATCTGGAAAATCTAGATGATAGAGAAAAGTTTCCTGTCCTTGAAAAGTAGGACCAAGTTTCATTCACCCCAACATTTTGTCAGTGGCCCAATGCCAACTCCAAGTGGGCCCCATCCCTGAGAGAGTCCACCTCCTCCTTGCTGCTGTTGTCATTGGCCATTATTTTCCCTCTCCTTCAAGACCCAGATGGAGAATTCAAGGCAAGTGAAGGATGCTGTTTTTTCCTCCTCCCTCTCCTCACTCCTTGCATGTCCAGAGGAGGCAGATGAACAATGACAGCAGCGATAAGGTACAGAAGTGTCAGGAGGCCCAGAGGATCAACAGTAGATCCCCAGAGAGCCCTACTCACTGCAGTGGCAACCCTATGTTAATGAGGAGGGTGTGATGATTATTGAGGCAGCCATACCCAGCACCTCATCATCAATTGCACTTCCTTTGGACAGAGAATTTCCATTTATCTGTAATGGCTGATAGCCACTGAGCAACCCATTCCCTAGCAAGCTATTTAATCCATTTTAAGAAACCACCTTAAGCTAGTGGCCCTCACCACACCTTCTGGTGATGAATTTCATATGATAATTATGTACTAATGATTGTATGGGAAACAACTTATTTTGACTGCAGTTAATACAGTGCCAATCAATTTCACTCATTAACCCTGAATTCTAATATGCTAGGAAGGGGAGAATGAGAAAGTGATGTAATATAACCATTCATACCATTCACAATTCTTCACATGTCCATTGCATCACACCCCTGAGTTATATTTTTCCTAATCTTTTTTTTTTTAAGCCTCAAATGCCTTGTTGTGCAAATTGTCACAGTGACCTCAGTGCTGGAGTAAAGTAGTACTAATCAGGATGATGGATGGTAGGGAGCCATTCTGGATGTTGAGCAGCGGAGCCAATGAACGTTTTTGGCCCCAAGCCCTCTGGTTTAGATCCAACATGCAGTTATGCTTTGAGAGAAGTTGGACAAAATATTCCCATGTATTACCTTTGAGTCTGAATGGCTACTTGGCTAAAGTCCCTTCTCCAATCTGAAGCTGGCTCTTGGAATCATTGACATAAAAGCCCTACGCAGATGACTGAAAGAGTGGAGATAATCAGTATATCCAGCAGGGAGCAGGATAATGTTGGCTGCCCGCCCCTCCTCTGCTTCATTGTGTTGATCAGGTATTCTGCCCAGGGCCTGTTTGTGTGCAACATAGAGGCCAGAAGCAGCAGCAGTGGGCATGATTCCACTGCAGTGGAATTTATTTCTAAGCAAATCTATATAGGATTGCACTGTAAAACTCATATGGCTAATCAATTAACATCAGGGTCAGACATGTGAAAAATATGATTTTACAATCTCAGAGTCATGCATGAAAAGGATATCTAAGAAACACACTTACCCCAATACACTTGCAAATTTCGAGTAAGATATTTCCTTCTGGTGGAGTCTTTTTGTACATTCCATTTCCAGCAATAAACACAACTATAAAAGAAGTGTGGTTTGAATGTAAAAGGAGTTACTGCACATCCAATGTAGCTAGGCATCTGCATGAAGAAACTTTCATAGTTGGTCCTGGGGGTACAGGGACCTTTCAGAATAGAACGGAAAGTGGCAAAGAGGGATTCAGTAGGCAGGATGCACAGTCAAAACTCAGGTGCCTCACCTTGACCAAGCAGAAGCACTTTCCACTGCTTTAGAAATCTTACGAAGAGTGTGTCCATTGAGACAAAGAATGCATTTTTTAAAAAAATCTAAGTGTCCCCAAACATTGATTGCTATAAACTTTATTTAGGTGTTCAAATAATGCGGGGGGGGGGGATAAAGTGTGGAGGAGGTGCTGGCGCATACACCTGCACATCCACTCCATAATTCAACACAAGAAGTTACAAAAAGCCCTGCAGAGCCAGGCCAAAGTCCCATCTATTCCAGCATCCTGTTTTGGGAGTGGCTAAATTGGAAGCCCAGCAAAAGCCATTGAGAATAATCTGAGCACAACAGCAAGATCCCCAGCAATTGGTATTCAGAGGCATGCTGCCTCTGACAGATGAGGGAGAATGCATCCATTATGGCAAGTAGCCATTGACAGCTTTATCCTCCATGAATTCATCTGCTGCTCTTTCAAATGCATCCAAGTTGGTGGCCGTTAATACATCCAGCGGGAGCAAATTCCATAGTTTGACTATGTGCTGTGTGAAGAAGCATTTTCTTTTGTCTGCCCTGAAACTTCCAACACTTAGCTTTGTCGGATGTCCCCACTATCTACGTTGTGCTTAATTGCTCATGGAGAAGAGAACGATGTGGGATGGAGGGAGGCATCTGTGGTGCGATTGAGCATTCTGGACAAAGTAGTTTTTAAATTTTGCCTAACCCAACACAAGCAAGAGCAGATTTGAAAACCACCATGCATAAAAAAATACTCAAAATCTGATTATTATTTTTTTCATTTGTCACTGTAACAAATGAAATACTGGACTAAATGGTCCAGTCATCTGATTTGTTCTGGCATTTAATTTTGTTGCTATCGCAGGCATGTGTTGGCATGCACACAGTATACATGTAAAGAAACACACAAGTAAAATAGAAGCATGCTTTGAATTGGCATTTAATCTGGGCTTCTGTGTGTGTGTGTGTGTGTGTGTGTGTGTGTGCGCGCGCACATGTGTGCGTGCGTACCTTGAGCCATAATTATTAATAACCCAATTTGGAGGGGGAAGGGAACTAACTAAAATCTTAGCTTTGGTCCATTCCAATATATGCTCTGAAACTTAGTTGTGCCCACCTCATATCACTGAAGGATCTGCAGCCATATCAACAAATAGCAGGAACAGCAACAAATCCATTTTGGGTAGACTTTAAAAAAAAAAAAGTGAAAGAAAAGAACTGCAGCATTTGCTGGCATGTTTTCCCTTGACTGCTTCTGTGATGTACTTTTTAAACAGTAATGTCAGATGATATCCAATAAGCACAGTACACGAATACAAAGGAACCATGTGGTAAACAGGAGGCTTCTAGGATTCTGCTGGCATGTTGTTGGGTTTTGTTTGGTGTGTGTGAAGGGGGACCATTCCTGCAACATCAGCTGCTGTCTAGTGGCATCTCCTAGTCTTTGCTGGGAAGACTTCTATTCCAGAAGGCATTAAAGCAGCTAGACAAATAGAAGCTGGGGTGGGTGGTGGGTGGTGGTAGGAAACACTGCCTTTTTCATTGCACAGATTGTTCTCTCCAAAGCAAAAGGCAGCATTTCTCCGGGCCTCTGGGTGGACACTGATTCTCTGCTGTGAGCGACTGTACATCCAGTTGCTCTGTTTCAAGCAATACAGTATTGCAAAGGGGTAGATAAGATGTTAGCACTGCCGCTGCTCTGTTACAGCACCACCTACTTACTGAGAGCGATGACCATGAGAGCAGCAGGAACACCAAAAGCTAAGGCATAGCAGTCTCCACCAAAGCACTCCACATCACCTAAGAGAAGCAGAAACAGAACTCCCTTTCATCATGTTTCAATTCTGATTCCCACCCTTCCTTCCAATGCCATAATAAAAAGAGATGCCCATTACCACCTTTTTCTTTGCTTGAAGTCAACACAGGACAGGTTTTCCTTAGTATACCTGCATGCACTGCATCAGTTTTGTGAGTGGCTCAGAATGTATGCAGATCAGGAAATAACGTGCCTAGGGCTCTGCTCACTTTCTAAGACTTCTCAGGATGTGGCATTCTGAGGGCAATTCCTGTGACTGTAATTTGTTCTAACTAATTTTAATGTTGAATTTTAAAATTGTCGTAACCTGCCCCAGAGCCAGCTGGTGAAGGGTGGGTAATGAATAATATTTAAAAAATTGTATGAACTGGTGCTTAAAGTCAAGGGCACCTGTAGGCTCACATGTGCCCACAGAACCTTTCTCTGGTGCCTGCAGTTTCCCCTACATTCATTGAAATTAAACTCAAAAGAAGCATTTTATTGTAGCCAATAGGCTAGGTTATGGTATGTGCTAGGTTGTGATGTGTGTGTGTGGTGCAAATGACTTTAAAAAGTGCATCTCATGCACATTTAAAACACATAACTCTCCCTGCAATAATCCTGGGAAATTTGGTTTGTTAAGGGTGCTGGGAATTGCTGTATCTGGGAAGGGCCAAGTTTCTTGGTTTGGGGGGTGGAATTGTATGCTTCAAATGTGCATTGGATGTGCTTTAAATGTGTGCCCATTTATCCAATCTGCAAACTTGCCCCAAAATGGTTGTTGACAGCTCCTGCCTTAATTAATCTTCCATACACAAAACCTTAACATTGCACTGACTCCAAAAGCCACAACATTACTTTGTTGATAAGAACACTTCCCAACAGTGTGTGCCTGGATATATGCAGTAGGTGTGAAAGTGATGGGGAGGGAACAGTTACCCAGGCATCCAGACTGGAGTCCCAGGCTCTCCTGGCTGAGTACTCAAGCCAGAACACAGTGAAAGTCAGAGAGAAACCTCTAGACTCATGAATGTGGCCCAACTTCTGAATCAAGGGTTACATACACCCAGCTACAAATATTCCAGGAGAAGTGGTTGCAAAGATGCTGTTTGTTCTGCACTGGAACAAATGAAAACAAAACAATTTCACAGCTGAACACCAACAGGATAAAAAAAAAAATACTGGTCATTATTAATGTGTGACATATTTATCTAAAGTTTATAATGCTGCCTTTGTGTTTGTGCCTAATGTTGGGTTATTTACAGTATTTTGCTTTCAGAGGCATAAGCTGAAATTTGATAGTCCAGAACTGCCCATGTTATTTCTGATTTTCACCAGAGGACGTTTTTAGCTGTTTGGGACATTGGCTTGGTCAATATAGTAGCCACAGAGACCACACAAAACAGCCAAGTTTTAAAGGGAATGTGCTTCTTTTTTCTCTTCAAGGAAGACTCTTAAGAACCAAACATCCTCATTCCACTCTGCACCATGCCACAATATTTATTTGTCCTGGCATTGACCTGTGTTGATATAAGATGCAGAGCCTAAAAGAAGCTTCCTTTTCAATCAGCTACAAAATGTTCTGAGCAGCAGCTACTTACCAGTGTTGACACAGGTAAATAGCTTTGCTTTCTGCCTTGTACTTTAGATTAAATATAGAAGGCAAGCAAGTTCCCAATCCAACCCCAGACATTAAATAGGTTTCAAAAACAACACACAAGACACACAAACTGTCCACTCTTTGCTCCTGTGGATGTGATTGTTTTTATCCTGAGAGCTGCTCTGTGCAATGTTAAAGGTAACCTCTTGTTCTGTCTGCTTTCACTCCTTGCATCTCAGGACATGGGCTGAAAACACAGAACACAACAATTTTGCTGAAGCTCAATGGGTCTATCTGGTCAGTGTATGGGTGGGAGACTGGCCGGGGAACTTTAGGGCAGTGTTTTCTGGCATAGGTCTCGCTGGATGATTATGGATAGGTGGCCATACAAAGTCAAAGGCAATGTGATTTACAAAGGTCTGCAAACTTGTGATCCCACTAGATTATGCTCACCAGGTGATGTCATGCTGCGTTCCACCAGCTCTCAAGAAAGAACATATACAGTATGGAGAAAGATCATAATGAAGTTGTAGAGCATCTGTTTTTCAGGAAGAAGGTCCCAATTTCAATCCCTGGCATTTCCAGGTAGGGCAAGGAATATCCCAGTCTCAAATCCTGGAGACCTGCTGGCAGCCAGTGTAGACAGTGCTGATCTACACAGTCTGACATGATGTATGGCAGATTTCTATATTCTCTAACGCAGAGCAAGCTGCATAATTCTGCCTCTACTGCTGTTTTGAAGATCCCAGAATGAACGTGGCCTGGCCCTAACAACATCTCAACTGTTCTCAATACGTTGCTATCATACTCCTGCTACCAAATAGAGAAGTCAAAACACGAAGCAAGAAATGGGAGGCATTTGGCCTAACTTGGACATATTAAATATCAGGGTGGTAGTGATGTTTTGATTGAAATGGGCTTTTGCAACTTGGTGGTCAGGAGAGAACTTTACTCAGTTTGGCACATTAACTAAAAACTTTTGCAAATCTATAATGCTCCTGAAAGTTGCTGTGATGTAGAAGAGAAATTGGTATTATGTTATTATCCTAAATTATTTCTCTGGGCACACTCCAGAATGTATAATTCTGGGCAGCTTCACCAGGCAGCTTCCTCCTGGCGCGGAGCAGAGCCCACTGCCCACTGCGGCGGCGGCAGCTTTGGCAGCTTCCGAAATAGCAGTGGGCATCGGGCTCCGTGCTGGGAGGAAGCCGCCCAGCGAAGCCAGCTTAGCATCGCTGGGCAGCTTCACCGGGCAGCTTCCTCCCAGTGTGGAGTGGAGCCTGCCGCCCACTGCAGCCATACCCAGCATATAAGACGACCCCCGACTTTTTAACCTTTTTTCCGGGGTTAAAAAGTCATCTTATATGCCAGAATCTACAGTATTTGTCATGTCTTCTCTATTGGAGAAGATGAGACCAGGAGGGAAAACTCCTTTATCTGACTCCCTGTAATATATTTCCTCCTTCCTACGTTGTTCCCTTCAGTGAAACAATATAGGACAAGCAAAAGAGCATGGCATCTCTGGCAGGCTGGCATTATCTTGTAATGACTACCATTTTGTTTGTCCCAGATCTGTTGGTCATAGCCCAATCTGTGCTTTTAACTCAATGGGATTTAGAGTACTGAACTCTGTGCTGGTCTGAGGGTAGCAGCCCTTCTGTTTGGGAATGGAATAAAGATCACGAGCAGAAGCTGGGAAAATGCAAGTTGGATCCTGCTGCAACGTATAGTGTTGCTAGGTTCTGCATAGCAGCACTCCAGAGTCATAGGAGGATGACCTGTGCCATAAATCAGTTATAATTAACATATCAGAGTGCTCTTTAAGTAATAGTTAAAGCCTTTATATATCAACCTTTTGTGCTCTTCCACACCCGTCCAATGTTCCTGACCCTTCTTTTGGATTCTTTTAGTTTCTTTAAAATTCTTATAGACTTTTATATTCACCTTGTGCTTTAATACCTTTTAGCTTTCTAAAGCGCTTTTTCAGATTTTAAATGCTGGTCTATGGCCATAATAAAGATTTGTATTGTATTGCAAGTTGGATCCATAACTGAGCTTACTCAATCACATTTTCTCTTCAATGTTTATATCACAGAAACTCTTATGGTACTTAAAACAAACAGACAAATAAACAAACAAACACGACACAGTCCTTTGAAACATGGGTACAGCACCTGCACATGAAGGAATCTCCCTACCAGATAAAAGAGCATTGTTTCCTCCTTTTCTCTCCCCACACCCCACTATAGTGCATAAGCATAGGCACAGGCATTCAGCCTACCATGCTGTTCTGGTGAACTGGAGGTCCATGTGCAACTCTGAGATCTCCACCTTGTCCTCTAATCTCTGATCCACTCACTCAAGGAACCTGAACTCCACATTTGCAATCCTTCCCCAAGTAGAGAAGGCTGGTTAGGTGGACCTCCTGCTTCCATGCCTCCCATTCCCCAGACTGCCCTGGCACTGTTTCTAAAGAGTCATCCATATGTTTCCGCCTCCTTAAGGGGGAATGGGGTTCTGTTGTGTTCTTTGTGGAGCCCTCCAAGTTCCAGTGCTGTACATACAAATTGTATCCCGTTTTAAAAACAACTTCTCTCTGTTCTTTCAGCAGAATCACAGTGGTCTAGTCACTCTAAACAGACATATGATTTTATTCACGTGGAAGTCAGGAAAACCCAATTAGCTAAGGGAGTGGGATAGTCATGCTGCATCTAATTCCCACCTTCATTCTAAATCAATGCTGGGAAACCGGTGGCCTTTCAGATGTTCTTAGACTCCAGCTCCTATTGCCGCACCATGCATGGCTAATGGTCAAAAATGATGGGAGTTGTAGCCCAACAATATCTGGGGGAATATCATCCATCCATGTTGTTAATCAACACTGACCTCTCAGCACAGGGGTAAGGAAAGTAGAGATCAGACTTCCTGCATTAATGGACAGGTAGAAGACAGAGAAGAACTTGCTTCTTTCCTGGCCCTGAAAAGAAAGAAGATCAAATCAACATCAGAGGTTTTTTTAAACACTGCTTAGAAACATAGAAATGGATTTGTCAATGGGGCTCCATCAATTCCACTCCACTATGAATTATACATTTGTATTGACCTAAAATAAAATGCAAGGTTAAAATCAAGGCAAGATATAGATTCTCTCTCTTTCTTCACACTTCTATATAAACACACAAGTAGAAGGAAAGATTCTCTTCTCTTTGCATGATGGAGGGAGGGGGATTTACAAAGAGAGTAGCAGTTACTTATTCAGAAGGAGCATTTTAATTGAGTCCCAATATAGCCTCATTCAATCCAATTTGGCAGTGCTTGACAGCTCATCATGTCTAGGCAATATTCTCCCAAAAAACATAAATAGGAAAAGAAACATATTCATTATAAAAAGCATACACCAACAGATCAGATAAGGAAAAGGGTGGAAGAAGTTGGCAAAGTGAAGCCATAGTTAGGCAAGAAATAATTGGGATTATATAAATTACATTTCAGCCTTAAGTACATTTGCTTCGTAGTGTTAGCTCATTTATTTCAACGGAACCTACTTCTGTAGGCTAAAAATATCCTTGCTAGACAAATTCAAGGGGCTGCTAACTTTTGCTTATGCTAACCAGGAGCACAGAAGAAGAACTGATATTACTAATATGCATTACATGCAGATACAGGTGGAATTTACAACAAAATGCTACAGTGTGGATTCCAGCCAGCCAGCCATGCCTTATGCCAGGGCATTCTAAAAAAGCTAGCAAAGCCATGCAGAATCTTATGGCTGCTCCTTTTCATTAATCAGAACACAACTAAAAATAAGCCATCGAAATCAAAAGTGTTCCAGTTGCCCAGCTCAGGAAGTTAGAACCAGGCAAGAGCAACAAGTTTCCAGGTAATAGGCCAAAGATTCAGGTTTCACAATCACTTATTTAACTGTGGATGACAGAGCAGAGCAAAGAGCCACCAGCGAAATAAAAAAACTCAGACTCAATATGTGCTCAGAAGCCTTGGCCAATTTACAGCTATTCAGCTATACTCTAATGTGAGTAGCACAGTTAGATGATTTTGATTCTGGACTTAGAGAAGGGACTCTTTAAGATGGTAATGTGCATTACTTCACGTACTTTAAAGTGTGGGAAGCCAGCCCTGCTGTGTTTGTAGCTCCTCCTGCTGAGTGGGGCCCCTCTCTGTTTGCCCCAAAGTGCTGCTCTAATGGCACCTCTCACTATTATTGACTCTGAAGTTGGCAAAAATAATAGGCAGACTCACTTCTCTTTGTACTGGCACAGGGTGATTTCGACGTGAGAAGATGGCAGGAGGGAGAGCAATATATGTAAATGTCTGCTCCACTTTTTACATGAACTCCTGCGGTTATTTAATTTATAAAAAGGTTCAAAATCGTTATACGGTAATGAGAAATTGCCCCATATAGATTTTTTATGTGCAGAGCTACCTTCCAGTGCTCAAGGTTGTAGAGTTTCACAGGCAGACTATGATAATGAATGGGTGGAATCCAAATATTATTTTCTTAATAATTTTTAAGAGGTGCAACAGCAAACCTTTATTTATTTTTCGCCAGTTTGTAGACCACCCTTCCTCGTGCCAATTTACTACCCCAAAATGCTTTCATATTTAGGTAAAGCTCCTTCATGAGCCTGCACAACCTTTAATATCTTCTTTGGAGGACCTGATCAGAGAGCCTCCATCTTCTGAGGGGAGGTGAACAGCAAGAAGAGATAGGACTCAATCATGGTGCTTTGTCTCTGGAACATCCTCCCCCTGCTCATCTATTAGGCTTTCTCTCTGATTATTTTTACAATGAAATTGAAAGTGCCTTTGTTGATTTTAGCTTTTCATATCTCAGCTTGCTCACTGAGCTCACACAGAGAAATGCTGTTTGTTGTCCCTCATGTTACAGAGGACCAGCTGGCTTCAACAACAAGTTGGGGTCCACAGCATACTGGTCCCATGCTGTGGCAGACTCTTATGGCAGAGATCTGGCGAGCGCCCTCACTTTGAACTTTCAGTTGTATCCAAAGACCTTTTTATGCTGACAGTGAAGTATTCTGTGGGTTTGGGAAGGGTATTCATTGTGTGAGGAAATCTTGCAATGGGTCTGTCCAGGAAACAGCTGGAGTCAGGAAAACGTCAATAGTTGCATTTATTCATGAACAACAACATTCAGACAGAACCTGGTACTGCAGATGAAAGGCTCTATCTATCTAGGTTCTCTCAGTTTCTTATTTTTCCAATCTTAAAATCAGTTCTCCAAATTTTGCAGCTATTTAAGAATTCTTTTTTAAATGTGTCAGCATTTTAGTGCCAATTCCTCCTAAAGAACGTATTTTAATATGACTAACGTACAGATGTTTGCAAGCATCTTCCCCAAATACAATGCACTTTTGTATGTTACTTCCACAAACAGCTTTATTCTTATGCACACTTTCCCCTAATATATGCATTTTTGTAACTGCTTTGTGCTTGGAGCACTGTATCACAAAATTCTGGTAAGTGTGAATCTATGATTGCTTCCAGATTGTCACTATGTAAGGTAAAGGTAAAGGGACCCCTGACCATTAGGTCCAGTCTTGACCGACTCTGGGGTTGCAGCACTCATCTTGCTTTACTGGCCAAGGGAGCCAGTACAGCTTCCGGGTCATGTGGCCAGCATGACCAAGCCGCTTCTGGCGAACCAGAGCAGCCCACGGAAATGCCATTTACCTTCCCGCCAGAGCAGTACCTATTTATCTACTTGCACTTTTACGTGCTTTCGAACTGCTAGGTTGGCAGGAGGTCACTATGTAGGGGTGGGATTAAATCACATGCTGGCAAATTATGATTGTCTAATTACAGGTGCTTGGAAGGTCTTGCACAACAAACCCCACCCCATGAACGTTTTATGACAAAGAAAGTCACAGGGAAAATGCAGCATTGTTTAACCTCACCACATTCAATGTTCAGTGAATAGCTGACATCATCTAGCCTCCCTATAAACAAATCAGGATGAACTGGGGTCATCTGGAAACAGCTGAATTTCATTTTGAGTGAATACAGTAATATTGAAAGGGAAGTATGGCTTAGCCACATTTTCTATAAACAGAAAAGAAAGTCCAAGCTTACCCTATAGCTTAATTATAAAAATCAAGAGCTGTTGACCATAATTAGTATGCACAGAAACCTTTTTGCTCACACTAAGTATAGCAAATGTAATTTTCTGCAGTTGAATTTGGTTTCCGGATTACTAATTATATATACAGAAATACAAGTAACGAAAATAAATATTAAGATTTTGCAAACGACTTTTCACCATAACTCTTTAACTTGCTTGTTAAAGGACAAATTGTGCTACGGCTTCATCCACTTACCTATTAGCCCCTTGAACTAAATAATCCCCAGTACCAACTATCGGACCATAGCCCTACAATTTGAAGGCAACAGTGGTTCCTTACAGCCTATCCACAAACCCAAGACTGAGCAAGGTTTGCTAACTGCTGTTAGACAGGGGTTATCCAAGGTGAGTCCCAACAGATGTGGACTACACCTTCTGTCATCCCTAACCCTTCACCACATTGACTGGGTATGACAGGAATTATAGTCCCAAACATCTGGAGGACACCACCTTGGCTATCCCTGTGTAAGACCATTTTTGGTGCTTGTCCTGGTGACTGTGGCTAGGGGTAGAAGGGTCTGTCAGTTTTGATCCCTTCTTAAAATCAGTTCTCTACATTTCGGCAGCAATTTGTGGATTTTCTTTTTTCTTTTTAATCCTCATGAAATTCTTCTGCATGTGTGAATTTCTCCAAATAAACACATTTTTGTGAGCAATTTCGCCTAATATAATGAATTATTGAATGTTATTTTCACTAATATATTCATGCTTATGCATACTGTCACCTAATATATGCCCTTTTTTGGTATACATTAGCTGGTTAGAGCACTGCATCGCAAAATTCAGATAAATGTGAATTCTGAAGGATGGCTGTTTCAGATCTCATACTGTTTCAGAAAGTGCAAATTTGATAAATTTGGCTTTAAATGCAAACTGAATCCAATTTCTCCCCTATCTCTAGCCTGCGCCTATACAGACTGATGTAAATGATGCACCGCCTCCACTTGCTTTAGCATATTGCTATCCATTTGGGGCTTTCTGGTATTCAAGACGGACTCTGAAATTATGAAGGCACTTGGGATTCTTGGCATGTAGCTTGTTTGAAGTTATTTATTTTGCTTGAGGTCCATGCTGCATGAAGGACCTTATAGCCTTAAAGCTCTGTCAGCAGTCATTCTCAAGCTTTTGAAAGCGTGATTTCAGCATTTGCATGGACTTTTGAAGCTGTACTGTGGATATCATGGGCTGGTGACTTTTTTAGAGATCTCATTAGGATTCGAGGGAAGGTGAAAGGATCACCAGGCTCAAAATCCCCAAAGCATCTTATGCCTGAATTAACCAGTTTTGATGACTTCACTGGTTTCCGCCTCCCACAGACCATGCACAGGCACCTGCTGAGCAACTGCATCTGTCAACACTTAGCAGTTGCAGAAGAAAACTTCAAAGATCATTCCCCACTTTGTTACTTCCCAGCGGCAGCATCCATAAAGTGAGGTGTGAATTTCCAAAAAGGCAGTGCATGAGCCTGAGCCCCTTGACATATTTTTTTTGATTCTGGCTTAGTTCTTCATGCATTTTCCGTACCTAAATGCCTTCCCAACTTGGGAGTCCACAATTAAGATGTAAATGTATGTCTCATTATGAGCAATCACATCTGGTACATCTCTTGAATAATCTTGATGCCACGGAGGGGAAAGAAAGCGAATCTTGAGTCAGTCAATCCAAGTGTGAAGCCTATAGAAGAGATCCCATTGTCAATGCCATTTTCTTGGTTCCAAGAATTGGATTCCGGTGTAATTGGATTTTGGTGGATTTCTGTTGGTTGCTTTGAAATCCCTTTAGTTCCTGATGTATTTCCATGCTGCTTTCTCAATTATTTGCTTTAATTAAAAACTCTGGATATTTGTGCACATGCATTTTCACTCTCTGCCACACTGCATTTTGAAAGCTGTAGTCATTCTTGCAGATGCATATTTTGCTTGAGGTCAGCCTGCAGCACAGAGCTTGTAAAGCTGCATTCTTGGGCATGCAGGAGTGTCATAAAGCCACTCTCATATCCCAAAGACAGTGGGTTGCAGACAGTTCACCACTTGCATGGAGCAAGAGAGCTCACAGGACTCACAACATTTGGGGGAGTCTATTGTCTCTTTCATCCATAATGGCGTTGCAAACAGTTAAAAGCTGCAAAAAGTCTTGACATGAAAGTTGATATTGCAGAACTGCAGGAGAGATGGTTTGTCATGAAAGTGTTAAAATATCCCAAGAACACAGGTATCATGTGAAAACAGACTAATGTGGGGAAGAGGTGAGGGATCCATCGTGAACATGTGGTAGATTTCTGAAATGCGTTCAAATTGATTTCAATGTGCTTGTCATAATTTCTGGAGCAGGATTCAGAATGACCAGCACTACAACAATTCAACACAATTTGCACAATTTACATCTATCTTGAAGTGAATTTCGTAGGCTAGGTAGCAGTTGACAACAGTCTGTAAATATTTTAAGCACAACTCCCCACCGTGTGTAAATGAATTGTATTGTTAAGTGGCAGTAGTGAGGGTGAGGAAATGACATGTCATCTTGCAGTGGTAGTGAAATTCTTATTTGTACATGTTCTTTTGCAGAGTAAGGGCAGTTCTGCACCTTATGATTTTGGAGGGAGTCATAGGTGCTATGATGGTGCAGTCTTTGCCAGATGTTTCAGACTACAACTCCTACAGCAGCTGACTGATGGCAGATGGGAGTTTTAATCCTAAATATCTGAAGTACCTGTTTAAACAACAGTATACATAAATTTTGGAACCCTTAATTAGCCAAGGTTGCTGGCTGCAGCCCATGAGTACCTAAAGAGGTCCATACAGGCATTTGATACAATGTTTGATGCAAAGAACAGCAATGCAATGCCTTGTGTATGTACACAACCTTCTCAATCACATTTTTTTGCACATAATCCTACCTGCCTTGCCACAGAGTCTATACTCCAGCTTGCCATAATGCACCCATTACTTTAAAGCATAATGGGAGAAGTGGTCCTAAGACACAGGGGCAGGAAGTTACATTGCAATACACTGAATAGTTTGGGGTGGCTCATTTTAAACAGCATGTCAAGAAATTGGCATAAAGCTGAGTGACAAAAAGAAGGGAAGTCAAGGATTTTGCCTGCCAGATAAAAACGCATTGACTTAAGCCCATAGTAAGCCTTAAATCTGTGGCCTGCAGCAGGTAGGCATCCCGTGAGTTCTAACAAGCTCCAGCCTGAGGAGAACTACAAGGAAAAGAGCCACATCAGACAGCAAGTAATTCTCTTCACAGCAGTAGGCTAGAATAAACCATGTGGTGCTGCCTGTATAAAAGCTGCCAGGTCACCCTTGCTCTGTAGGCTGAACACCAAGGTCCCAGTCCCTGCGAAAGATACTCTACCCTGCCTTCTTTGCAGAAGTCAAGTGTGACAAGTGTTATTCCCCTTCTCAGTGTGCATCTGGAACCTATGCACATTAAATTGAAGCACAGCAACCTGCAGGGTAAATGCATGCGCTTGCTCTTTTTTGCAGGCCAAATAACCCGCAGAAAGCAGAAACATGAGTCTGCTCACATGCCTGCTTTTCGCAGGGATGTTGGAGAATTCTAATGGGAATGGAAACAGGAAGGGAAATTAATGACATTTGCTTATTTAGTGCATGTCCAGAATGGAAATCAATCCAGCGAATAGGATTGGTATTCATTGTGGTTGTTTTCAGCCTGCAAACGATTGCATAATTGTTGCTGGGGTTCCCTTCCATTTGCACTGTGCTTCCTTTGCACTGCAATAAATGGCCTTTGCACTGGAAGGAATGTTGTCGAATAATGCAACGAGAATGTAATTAATTATGTAAAATTCCACCACAGTGGACAGCAAGACAGATAATGTAGTTTTTGTTGGATGCTGACATGCAGCAGAGCAGAAACAATACTGCGTACGATGAACACAGAACACAAATCAATGCCTGCTTACATTCCTACATATGAAGTGAACCTTAGTACATCCTCCTTAAGGAATACACCGCTGAAGCAGAGTGCACATGATAATGATCTTCCAAAAGAAAACAGCTGTTTCTTCATTCAGAGTTTGGAATTTTGGGGTGAAGCATTCAAAGGTCTCCTAGTCTCCATTAACGATTAGCTTTTAACAACTTCTAAAGATCAACTTAACCCAGGAAGGTAATACTTAACCTCTCAGACAAGAGCACAGTGATTAATTTGGAGGGAATCTGCAAAGCATTTTGAAAACAAGTGCTGTGTGTTCTTGTTATAATCACATACTAATTAGTTGTTAATTAGAAGTTGATTACAAAATATTACTAATTATTATTAGTCATAGATGTTGCACTTCTGGGAATGATATAACCCTCAGGAGCTGCTACTTTGAGATAAGCAGAGGAAGATTCCTAATGTCAATTACAATTACTTTTTCTAAACTCAAACAAATCTTTTATGTGTCTTTCCCTTCCCCAGCCAAATTACATGATTTGTGTGATTCTTATGTTGTCAGCTCTCTGCCTAATAATGATACTTCCCCATACCTTAAATCTATGATTATCTGTGTTCTAATATTATTTTCTGACATAGGCCCAGATGCTAACTACATGATTCCCCCCCCCCCAACAACAGGCAAACATAAACAACCAAAATGCAATAAAATAACTCAGTACATCCATCCGCAGCTACAGAGATGATATGCAGGGCTGTGAAAATATGCAATCTCATGTTTGATCAAAACTATTGCCTGCCTGATCATTAACAAACAGGCTTTCGGGGGATGCTAGGAATTTTCAATATCCTGAAGGTATCCTATTGTTTAGGTTTCATGAGCTATGTGAGAAAGTGAATGCAGTTTGTGCTAGGATGGGAAACACTACAGAAAAAATACAAGGTGTTTCAGTAAACTGCTAGTAACGTAATAGATAGAATTCCTTGGTGAAATCTTATTTTAAATACACACACATTCACCTTGTGCTGGTAAGCCATGCACAGTAGAAAAAACTCCCCATGCTCTGGGCTTGGGGGTATGAAACTACAGAGAAAGAGAGGAAAGGAAGATTAGGACGCAGAGGTATGCAAGGTTAGTGGAAAGTAAGGGAGAGTTGTTCTTTAAACCAGCATGAAATACAAGGTGTATTTGCACTGACCAGCTTTGCACATGATTTTTATTGGAAACACAGACACCATTAATGTTCCCAACACTGACTTTAATAGTGAACTTTGTGACAAGTGCCAACAGCAATGGACTCAAAATGGGGCAACTGAGAGAAAAGAGGGAGGTATCAGCATGCTTGGGGAAACAGCAGGTTCAGCATACACACACACACACACACACACACACACACACACACATATTATGGGGGGCAGGACTCACTCAAAACAGTACAATGAGAACTGAATATGCTCAGTAGCCATATCATCCTGAGCATTGGTTGGAAAAGGAAAATGGGGAAGGAGGGCAAATGAAGTGGCCTGAACTCTTAAGAGGAGACATATTGCACCATTTTGTTGCATAGGTTCAACTTGTTTCCTTAATTGTTAATGCCAGAGTTTCCTTCTCAGTTTGGACAGTGGTCCATTTAGGCCTATTTGACATCTCCATGTAGCCACGGTGGGTAGTAGGTAATGGGAACGTCCAAGAGCTCAGAGAGCTGTTTTCAGCCTAGCTTCCGTGATGGCATGAGAGAGTATCCTTAGGGTAAGTGGTGGCAAAGAAGTGGAAAAACAGGTTCCAAGGAAACAGATTCTGCCTTGTGTGCACAAAGTTTTGGCAAAGGAATGCAGGAACTCCATTTGCTGCTTCTTCAGTTCCAACCACCGCAGCTCACAGTCACCTGTGCCGTCAATGATGCTTTCTGAGATATGGAGGGAGGGACTAAATGGAAGTAAGCAACTTCAGGTGGCGCTTGTCCAATGACATCCCATTTTGTTTCCACAGATGTCCATGTTTTACGAGACCTCAAGCCATAGTTGGCAGCAGTGACCAAATCCTGCATATTTTCCTGTTTGTTCCTCAGAGGCTTCAGAGAAGTGTGGGAGGAAAGGTTTAGCTCAGAGGCAGAGCTCATGCTTTGAAGGCAGAAGGCACCAGGTTCAGCCACTGGCATTACCAGCAAAATGAATCAGGTAGCAGGTGGTGAGAAATACCTTGCTCTCTTTGAGACCTTGGAGCACTGCTGCCAGACAGAGTTTAACTATGCTTGGTTACATTAGACAAGGCCTATGACATGGCATAAGGCAACTTACTAGGCCCCCTAGATGTGGACAGAGGATGAGCAAGTTGCACACTTCTCATGGACAGAGCTTCTGAGTAATACCCAAAGCTACCCTTTATATAGGCAACCTTGCTATCGTCTCTTTTGCATGGATGAGTCAAGAATGAATGTTCATTACATTGCATTTGACTGTTTATTAAAAATGATGAGCCAGGGGTGAGTAACCCTTTGAGGGGGCTTGATAGTCACATTGAGAGTTTGACCGCCATTCCAAAGGCTGCATTGCAGTACACACACTCACACACTCAGCAGAAGGTGATAAACAGGCAGCGTACATATACAGGCACACACTCAGCAGATGAAGGGAGACAAGCTGGCATGAGAGGGCCTGCTCCTGCTCCATTGTTGCCGTGGGGAGCAGAAACACAGCTTCTTTTTTATCTTTTGCAAAGGAGCTCCTTCTCCCTCTGGTAAGGCAACACTGACAGGAAGTCTTAGAAAGGAAACAGGAAAGAGTATTCCTTCCTGTTTCCCAAACCTCTCTGAGACTATCTAACAATATCACCAACATTCAAAGAATGATGCCAGGTCAGATGTAGAAGGGACCCTTTGGAAGGTGAAAAGAAGCAACAGCACCTCCCCACTCCCCGCTGTATAACAGATCAATGGAGAAACGGTGGGACTTAATAATGTCAACTGCTGGACAATGTTTTTTTATAAGGGTTTTTTTTCTAAGAAAGAAGGCAAATTGTTGGAATGGTAGTTTGGGACCACCATGAATTGCTTCAGGAGTCCAGATACAGCCCATAGGTCAGGGATTAACCATCCCTGCTAAGTGCTATGTTTAAAAAAGCATTAAGAAACCACATGGATAAAAGAAACAAAACTCTTACATGCTCCTCTTCAAACTGGTCTCCACCAAACGCCGCCACACAGGGCTTGATACCTCCTGTTCCAAGAGCAATCAGAGTCAGGCCAGTCATCGACAGAACCCTTCAAACAGGAATGGAGACATTTCAGCACCATGGAAGGGTATGTGTGTGTGTGTGTGTAGGGAGAATAGCAGCACCTCCCAACTACATTGCATACCAGAATCCTTTTCTCCCCAATAAAATTTTATTAAGACATTTCATGATGTGTTGCAACAAAAATAAACTAATCTAAACAGAAAAAAGAGAAAAAGGAGAATGCAAAGTCCTCTCTTACAGGTAGATCTTAACTTGCCCCACACAGAAAGAGGTGAACCCTCCCAGCCTCACAGTCTGGGAGATCTTTCCTTCCCTGCTTCTCACACAGGGTCCTTCCCCAACCATCCATCACCTTCATCTGCATGCAAACCCCTGATTAACCCTGAGTGGAGGACCAGAATACTTTGAAGCACGTTACTGGAGGCCCATTCACACTTGGTGTGTGACAGCTATTTTTCTGCAAGAAGGGGCTGCATACGGGGGGGGGGGGGGATATGTGAGGCCAGTTGCATGAGTCAAACTGCTTCCTAACTAGGAAAGAGAGTAGTAACCAGGTGGGATCTCTATTCAGAATCCCCCAAAGTGTGCTACCAGAGAGATTGGTATGCCACAAGGGAGGAAGCAATCAAACCATCATGTTGGATTTGGCAGAAACCACCCTCTCACTTTCTCTATCACTTCCCAGGCAGCGATAACTGTCCTGAGGGTGCACTGGAAGTCTCTGAAGCAGTGCTTGCTATGGCTGATTAGTGCAGGAAAATCACAGAAGCATCACCATTCAAGCCTGGTTTCAGATTTTACAGGGCTCTTCCCTCAGCAGACTACCCCTTAGTGCTGACTGACCCCCCCTCAGAGCCATCTCCTCTGAGCGTCAGCACTACTGCAGCTGCCAGCCTCACCTTTCCAATACATTTCCGAACACAATTCAAAGTGTTGGTGTTGATCTTTAAAGCCCTAAACAGCCTCGGTCCAGTATATCTGAAGGAGCGTCTCCACCCCTATCGTTCTGCCCAGACACTGAGGTCCAGTGCCGAGGGCCTTCTGACGGTTCCCTTGCTGCAAGAAGCCAAGTTACAGGGAACCAGGCAGAGGGCCTTCTTGGTAGTGGCACCTGCCCTGTGGAACACCCTCTGACCAGATGTCAAAGAGAAAAACAACTATCAGACTTTTAGAAGACATCTGAAGGCAGGCCTGTTTAGGGAAGCTTTTAATGTTTAATAGACTATTGTATTTTAATATTCTGTTGGAAGCCGCCCAGAGTGGCTGGGGAAACCCAGCCAGATGGGTGGGGTATAAATAATAAATTATTATAATATTATTATTATTCCCTTTGCACTCACTCTGTGAACTCACTGGTAGCCATGGCACTGCCACCAGCTAAGCCCACTCATGAGTGTAAAGTGAAGCAGATGAGACAGCCAGTTCCACCCTTGTATAGCGAGTGGATTTACTTGGCACCAGACACTGGGAACCAACCTGTCAGTTTGTCCCTGACCACCACTTTCAGGTAGTAGGTATTGGGTAGTGACAGAATGTGCTAGAAGAGCAAACCAGGCATCAGCCCCAGTGGGTTCCATGCTGATGCTGGGCCTGCCACCATGGCAGGCAAACACACTGCTGTCTGCTTCTGGGAAGGGCTGTAGCTCAGTGGAAGAGCACAAGCTTTCCATGCAGAAGGTTCCATTTTCACTCGCTGGAATTTCCAGGCAGGACTGCGAAAGATTCCCTATTGGAAACCCTTGAGGGCCACTGCCCAGTCAGCATAGATAGATAATACAGAGCTAGCTGAACCAATGGTCTGAACAAGACAGGTCCTGCTCCTATGAGCTGATCCCAAGTACAGTAGTACCTCGGGTTAAGTGCTTAATTCATTCTGGAGGTCCATTCTTAACCTGAAACTGTTCTTAACCTGAAGCACCACTTTAGCTAATGCAGCCTCCTGCTGCCGCCACGCCGCCAGAGCACAATTTCTGTTCTCATCCTGAAGCAAAGTTCTTAACCTGAGGTACTATTTCTGGGTTAGCGGAGTCTGTAACCTGAAGCATATGTAACCCGAGGTACCACTGTATTCTGGTAACACTGTATTTTTTTTTATAAAAACAACAACAACATTGGAATATTATAGTACCCATGTGCCTCCCATTTTCAGCCATGGCAGGGAAACAGTTTCAGTGCAGGGGAAAAAATATTATCTATGTCATAGCCAGCCAAAGTTTGGGGAAACCCTGCTTTATTTATATGCATGCTGCACTTGCCTGGGATTTGGCAAGAAAGTTGCTAGCACACCACTAGCTTGAAGTGGGAATGATGCCTAAGGCCTGATTCAAACATTCAGAAAAATTACATCATACAGTTCTGGAATGAGCTGCCAAAGGAAGTCTGCTAATGTGCTCCTTTAGTGTGGTTTTGGGAGCTTTGAGAAACTTATTTATTTAGGCAAGCTGTTGAAAAGTTAAGCCATTCCAAGTGATTAACTGGGGTTATCTGTTGGATGGCATTTGGATTTGTGCTGTTGCGGGTGTATTTTTGACTCTGCTGTTAATACGTAATACTTTTTCATGTGATAAGGATGTTTCATGGTGGCTTTATAAGCCTCCTTGAACAATGTGGGCCAAAAGAGTGCAGTTTTAAAAACAACAGCAGCAAAAGTCTGGAATGCAAAGAACTATGCATGATGTTCTGTATGCTCTTTTCTGGTGTCATAACTGAGAAGGGGCTGTAGCTCAGTGGATAAGGGTCTTCCTTGCATGCAAAAGTTCAACCTGCAGCATCTCCAAGTAGGGCTTGGGGAAACTCCCTGTCCCGAAGCCTGGAGAACTGCTGCCAGCCAGTGTAAGAAGAATTTGCTTTACATGTGTAGAGAGCTTTTGACATGAGGGGAGCATCTGAATTTGTGATTCCACATCTGCATTCTGAACTGGCACAATTTCAAAGCAGGATCAGAGGCACACTCCATTTTCCATGCTGGGTAACCCTTCCTCAGCTGGTTAAATGTTCCCTCCCCTGCAAGTCCCAGGATTGTCGTTAAATAAACTCCCAGTTTGAATGGGAGCCACCGCCACCCCCAACGGCTTTCCCTCCCTCTGTGGCAAATGCAGCTGAAGTGGGCATGAAAATGCCCTACCTGGTTTCCGTAGGTCATTCCATACAACCAACTGTGATGGTCATATTACAAGACTTCTGCAGGATTCTAAGATGGACTGTGTCCTTGCCTGCCTATACCGTTCACCTCTGAGAAAACCAAGCATACACTTTCTAAAACAGTGGTTTGCTTCCCCCCCCCCGCCCCACTCCAGGTTTGGGCTTTAGATCTAAACAAAATTAAAAACCTTAGAGTGCTAAAAAATAAGTAACAGCTGAAGTTAATGAGCTTCTGAAGCATGTGGCTCTGGACAGAGGTTTGCCTGCAGCTCATGCGTAAAGCGCTTTCTAAGGGCTCATTGCTTGAAGCAGTGCTCACCCTCGCCATGGAAATGAACGGAGGCTATGCCAGTACAGTACAAGACTTGATGCATTGCCCCCCGAGACGCAAGACTGGTGGATTGCCTAGCACAAGGTGCTAGCAGCTTTCAAGGCTACGATGTCCGGACACGATTTGGGATGGAGGACACGGTGCCAGCGTTAACAAAAGGCCTGAAATAACCACACAACCACTTATTGCAAGGTGCATGTGAATGATCTATACCTTAATACAAGCCAATTAATAATAATGTTATCAAAACATAGCAGACCCGTCTTTTCATTACTTACACATGAACAATTTGGTTTCCCACACTCGGTATCGCCCCAACGGACTTGATCACGTGCCCAATAACGTAAACAATGGAGAGATAAATGATTGTTCTGTGGAGAGAAAGAGAGAAAAAAGTAAGAAAATGCTATCAGCCCAAGGCAGTGGCATGATTTATAATCTGAAAACAGAACGTGTGTCTGTATTTCCTGATAGGGAAGGCACAAGGATTTTCTCTGTTACCCTTTTCCCTCTACCAGAACTGAAACTCCTCTTTCTCCATCCTGCTTCAAAGCATTGACAAAAAAGCTGCAGCTGAACAGAAAGTTGGGACAACTGCACTGACAGGCACAGCTGCTCTGTTTCCCACCACTTGTGGTGGCAGGGCCAGCCCAAGACACTCTCTGCCTGAGGGACAGAACAGCAACTGGTGTCCCCAAACTCCACTTCCCAAGCCCACAGAACCCAAGCAGACCAATTTTATTCTCTTCATTTACAAATTATTAATATTCCATCCATAACAACAACAAAAAAGTTCTCTGAGCAGCCCATAGTAAAAATTAATATGGTAAAGTACACAAATAAATTACCACCATATAAACAAAAACAGACTAAAAACAGCAGCAAAATAAAACCAAAGTGGGGTGGGGTGGGGACAGTAACAGGATGTAATGCTGCGAAAGCTCTAAAATCCTACAAACACCTCTCCCCTGGAATAATAAATTAAATTAAACAACGGATTGATTTGCTAGCTTTTCATAACCCCCCTGGCCAGCTGTCTGAGGCAACTGCTTCATTCTGCCTAATGATGGAGCTGGCCCTCAACCATTCCTAGCAATAATATGGAGGTGCCACACCAAACACACTGAACACAGATCCTGAGCAATAGATAGAACAGCACTTGGTGTCCAACACCCTAAATGATTGTCTTTCAGTGCAATCCAGAGAAATTTAGCTGAACATAAATGCCACTGAAAGCTAGGATACTCTAAACAGAGGCAGCATTAACCCTTATTGAAGTCAGTGGAGCCCAGCTAGAAATGACAAGGCCGTTGTTTGGATACCTGCTTGCATACTTTCCTGTATAAAGTGAGTCTTCTATTTAGAAGAGTCTACTCTGTACATGAGAAAGACGAAAGACTATATAAGGGATAGAAGCAAACACCCCACCCACCCAAACCTCAGTTGCATTCCACTGCTTTAAGCACTTTGGGAGCACCTCTGGTGCTAGATATGAGCTGGACAAGGGGGAGATTTCTTAAACCAGGATATAATTGTGCAAAGACCAATCAAAGTGCAAACAAAAATCTCATTGCATAGGCAAGTTCATAAGGCACGCTAAAATTCAATGGCAAACAAAGGTAGCAATCTGTGATAACGTATATCAAAAGTTTCTAAAAATAGTACTATTAATCAGCTAGAAAATGCCCCATTTGCTCCATTAATTAACCGGGGGGGGGGCGTCGTTTATGTACCTGAAGTACAGATGGACAAATTTGTGAATTTTGGTTTCTATCAGGTTTCTTACTTCTCCAAGTGTAAATTCAGTTCTCCACATTTCTGAATCTATTTTTGCTTTTGTTATAAATTTCATTCCTGTTGAGAAGTCATCAGAGTTCTCCTAATCCACCCATTTGTATGCAATTTTGCCTAATATACATATTTTGGCAAGCATATTTCCGCTAATATATGAAACATTTTTGTATGTTATTTTCACTAATATGCACATTGTTATACACGCATTTCCGTAACATACCCATTTTTGTACACATCATTTGGTTGGAGAACAGCATTGCAAAATTCAGAGAACCACAAATTTCACAAATTTGCATTAAACAAGGTTGCATTAAAATGTAAGCTGAAAAAATTCCTCTCCATCTTCCACTTGAAGATGTAATATATTTTATTCTTACTTGTATTTTCCCAGCCAAGAGTCAGCCATGAGGGCACCAATGACAGGTGTAAAGTAACAGAGACTTGAGAAGGCATGGTAGACGGAGGTGGATGTATTCTCATCCCAGTGGAGGAAGTAGAGGAAATACAAAGTCAGAACGGCTGAGGGATAAAAACAAAGACAATAGCAATGAGTTTCATAAACAATGTATGAGCCCCAGAGTGTGACAATAATTTTCTTTTCCTGAAAGAGGCTCTGTGCTTTTACCAGTGGTGTGACAGAAAGAAATCCAATGAGGCTCAGCTTTCACTACCATGAAAACTCTACAGCCATAGCAGGCTCTGTAACTCTCCAACAGTTTGACTTTACCCCTGAAGGCGCAACTTTCCCATTGTCTCCTGAGGCAGGCCGATGCCAACAATGACCGAAAGAAACCCAAGGAGGCTCAGCTTTCACTACCATGAAAACACAGTGATGAGCAAATTGCCCTTTCTCAGTCTCTAGCTATCATCCCACTGATACAAGCATACAGCCTCCAACAGAGGAAAAGCAAGCAATCCTGGGTGTCAGACCAATAGACCTTTCCTGTCACTCTTCCTTTCTCTCCCCTATATGCTCTAGGTCATTCTCCAGAGATTGTAGCCCTTGCTGACCAGCTTCCAGTTTTCTGCTTCCATATTACTGTCCCCAAAGGGAAGAGACAGGAGAGAGCTTCCATAGCAGGGGGCGAGATCCAACATAACTTTAGTGCAAGCAGTTTGAGAGTTGATGTCCGAGCAGTAGCACAAATAGTAATGCATAAGCTTAACTGTCACCAAGTATAATAATAACATTCAGTTGGGGGTTATGAAACTTTTTTCTCAAGCACAAAACACTCATTGAATTGGGCTGTTGCACTATGGCTTAAGAATATGGCTTCTACTAGTGGATGAGCAGTTCCGCAAGTGGGCTGTCACAATGGGTGCTTGATGTGGAATTGATGCTTCATTTGCACACTTTTCATGAGACATCCACACAATGCTTTCATCCTTTATTGCTCCTGTGGCTCTTCCCACCTTCTCTCAGAAGGCAGAAAGTCTGACATTTTTCAGAAGAATAGAAGAGTGATGCAATCTCCACAGGTGTAGATTAGCATTAATATTCTATCTTTTTAAAAGTATGGGGATTTGATTCTGTGTGTGTGTGTGTGTGTGTGTGTGTGTGGGTGTGTATTAATGTTATTTAAAAGCATTGAAACTCCTACCAGTGACCTATGTTTGCCATATGGCTAAAATACCAGTGATCAGAAAGGTTATTTTTAAAATCTTTTGTTTAAAATGTAGTATTATGGCACTTTTAAAAAATGAATGAGAGTTACAGCACTGTAACACCAAATTTGTTATATAATGCTCTTTCTGACCAAAGCAATTTTAGCAAAATGTACACGGCTCCCATTTTACATAGCCAAGAGAGGTGATTTTTTTGTATGCATGTATTTATGAAATAGTTTTTAAAAAAACAAACAAAAAAACCCAGCATTATAGTGTTATAGCACTATAACTTTCATTCATTAACAATGGCAAGAAAGAATTTTAGAGCTTATTAAAAGACAAAGTTTTAAAAACAGGGCCATACAAAATGGCTGCTGCAAGGGTTTTAGTAGATGTGCGCTCAGCTTCAGTTGGCCCCACCCACAGCAGTTATGTCATGAGCACTTGTGTACAGAACACAGCAGCATGCAGACACAGAAAAAGTTCAGAACACCCAATACTGTGGAAAGTCAAGTGCAACTTCACTTGTAGCTTACAGCAGAAGTGCAATTATTTGGCAGTACTAGGAGCCACCCACCTGGAAGCAGCCTCTGGCACCATGTTTATAACCTTTCAGTCTATCCTGTTAGTGTGTACACGTATCAGAGACAGCTGAGGTATCTGAGGCAATTTAAGATCTGAAGGCAACGAATCTTTTCAGATAATTCCTACGATTAATTCTCTCCTCCCACCCATAGGCCACCTTTTATCATCCTAAAGGCAAAACAAATTGCAAAGAGAGCCAAACTATTCTCTGAGAAGCTGTGGAGAAATGATGAAAGATATAACACACACCTTTCATGCCATAGTAGGAGAAGCGCTCGCAAAACTCATTCACCACAATGAAGGCGATGCTGAGAGGGTAATTGGTACCACATACTTTCTAAAGAAGCAAACCAGAAAAAAGGTAGTGTCATACAAAACTTGTCCTTCGGTCATATGTACAGTTGACATAATGACGCACAGCACGCAGAATCCCAGAATCAAATGTACAGACCTATAATTCAATGCTGAATTGGCAGATGTCCCCAGAGAAGAGATTTGAAGGAAATACAGAGCTTATAATAAATAAAGGCTTGCCCAAAGGCTGACAATCAGCACAGTGAACGAATGTCAAATGGAGGTGAATAGGTTTGAAATATATATTTCTCCCTCTGTATATATTTTCTAGCTATAGCAGGCATAAATGTGGCTTTGCAAGTTAGATAAACAGGAACCACAAATGTGTGTTCATGATTTTCTTCAAACTCATCCCTTGTATTCCCAGTCACTGCACTCTACAGGAAAGGGCCTCCTGCAGACACCTTCTCATCAGGAATCCTCTTCCATATGATGGAGAACCAGGCCTTTCACGAGGTAGCACCTACCCTTGGAACGCCAATCACATATCAGACATACCTTATCCATTACCTTTTAAGCACACCTGGAAGACCTTCCTTCACCAACAAGCCCTTTACGTGTGGATTTTTAAAAAAATCCCTGTCCTTATCTGCTTTGGACTTGAAATTGTTCTTATTGCTGTTTTTATATTATTGATATTTTTCACTGTTAAATTGCTTTGGGATGTTTTATGGGAAGTGATCCATAAATGAAATGAAACAAATAATTACATGACCACCTGGTCCAAGGGACAGCTTATGTGAGGGAAAACAGCTGTTGGCAGAAAAAAAAGGAAGGAAGGAAGGAAGGAAGGAAAGAAAGAAAGAAAGAAAGGAGGAGGAAGAATATTTGTGGATCAGAAGCGATCAGGGCAGATGTCAACTGCTTTTCTAGAAAGTTCCATTTGTTCCATTTAGTGATTAATTCTAACCACGAAGCAAATCCCAGCATGCTTGGGTTCCACCTACCCAGTAGTTTCTAATGAGATCTATCCAGTAGTTTATGTCATCAACAGAAAAATAAACAAAAAGGGGGGAGAAAATGATAATGCCAGTGTCAGTAAGACACAGGTCTCCAGACATCACACGCAAAAGGATTACTATGTGACTGGATGCAACGTGACACTCATATTGCATTCAGAGCCAAGCCCTCACTTTGTCCTCAACTTTGTGAGGCTTCGCTGTAAAACAAGGAAACAATGTTAGCTGGCATTTTCCCCAGAGTGCTGTTGCATCATTTTGTGGTGTTATCTCAGGACATAAAAGAGACAGCATAGCCTATGGAGAAACATAAACCCATCTGATAGTGGGGGGAATAAACAGCCTATCCAGTGCTGGTGACATAGTTCTGACAGCAACTAGCTGGTTAGGTGAATTTGAAGGCCCAAATCTAGAAATTTGAAATTTATATTTAGGCACCGCAGATATGAACAAAACAATTAAACTTGCACTTCCTCAGCAGGCTCTATCCCAACCAACAAGCATTCATGCGCAGTGAGCTCCTGCATGTACTCCTTGGAAATCAGAAGCTGCTGAACATACAGAAAAAGCCATCCACATGTACAGTTCTACATGGAGGGATTCTCTATACATGCTCAAAAAATGCTGAGTCTGCAGCAGCAATCCTGCTCCATCCAGCACATGTTCACTGGTACTTCTGTTAAGGGGAATTTTTGCTCTCCTATCAGGAGTGTTCACTAATCAGGTGAGTTTCATCATGCTGTCAAAAACCTGGATGAATTCAAAATGAGGATTAGTACATTAGCATGCCAAGGATGCTCCTGAGCACTAGCCCCTATTTTGTACTCTGTTTGGATTCATTCAAACATCTGTCATTATCCAATGAGCAATTATTTTCTTTCAAAGTAAAAATAGCATCTACCTAGCATCATTTCATGCATCTTAGCAGAGCAACACACATCAATGCCAGAAGAAGAGGGAAGCCCTTCTCCTTCTAAGTTAATGTATGATGTGAACCAGAAAGCACGTAAATCAGGATCACTGTGGAATTTAAAGAGGATTGAGACACATCTCGTTAGGGATGGGTGAATCTGTCCATTTCAGTTTCCCAGTTTTCCAATCTTAAATTCAGCTCCCCATATCAGTTGGTTATGGTTTTTCTTTAAAAAAAATAACAGTTCTTACTGGGATAACTGCACTGCAGAATTCAAAGAAAGGCGAATTTTGCAAGATGGCTGTATTTTGGTACTGTGCATGGTTTCAGAAAGTACGGTTTAGGCAAGCTCACCTTTAAATGTGAACTGAATCAAATTTCTCTCTCATCCCTACATCTCATTAATGAGACTAGAACTGAAAATCTAAGTAAGTTGCTCCTAACCAAGTGTGTGTTTACATTTCAGCCGAGGGCAGAACTACCTATTCCACCTCCAGTGCCTCCAAACCTAGACACGATTGCTTCTTGCAAAGAAGTTCTGGGCAGGTGCAACTTGTAGCAGAGAAGTGATAGGCAGGAAGAGGGTGCTTAAACCTTCCCTTGCCCATCACTTTCCCCCTTGAAGTTTCCTTCTACTAGCAGCCCTGGTTTATTTGTGTTAGTAGATGAAACAGAGGTCTGGAAGCCCTGGTTCTAATATTTGAAAATAACTTTTATTAACCCAGAACACTTTATTCTGGAACCTTTGCTTTTCTCCGTTTATTAATCTGCAACAATTACCTCCCAAGATCTGAGGAGATTTATGTGGCCTTGCTAAACTTCTTCCACCACTGCTTTCAATCCTGCATATCACTCCTTCCCACCTTGTCTGTTTGGGAAACCTGTCTTGTCAGGCATCCGAGTGTGACATAATGTTTGAATAGAGTACACACAAATAAACATAAACCAACCTGTATGTGTGAGAACAAGCAATTTGGTCAATTCCCCGAATGAATGAGGGAACTTGAACGTTTTTCAGGCCTACACACATTGCATTTTGTACAGATGTGACCTTTTCAGACACTATATTCACTGGAACTGGTATGCCTGATGGGCATTGTGGAATGTTGTGAGCTTGCTTCCCTATAATACTTAAAGGGGGTGGGTGAGTATGATCACATAATCTAGGTCCAAACAGCAGTTTTGTGTTTGTGTGTGGGACCAGGGCTTAATAAAAAAAATTAAACCATTAAAGGTAAAGGTAAAGGTACCCCTGACTGGAAGGTCCAGTTGTGGACGACTCTGGGGTTGCGGCGCTCATCCCGCTCTATAGGCTGAGGGAGCCGGAGTTTGTCTGCAGACAGCTTCTGGGTCACGTGGCCAGCATGACTAAGCCACTTCTGGCGAACCAGAGCAGTACACGGAAATGCCATTTACCTTCCCGCCAGAGCGGTACCTATTTATCTACTTGCACTTTGACTTGTTTTTAGCCCATAGTTTCTTCCAGTGGATATTGACATTAGGGGGAACAACACAAAATTATGTTGGCTCATTCCTTAAGGTAATTACAGCATTAACATATGAATTTGCACAGGTGTCAATGCTAATGCGTTCCTGTATCCATCCTTGAATCTGCACAAATGACAAAACTGTATACAGTGAAAGAAATTCATCTGATCAAAACCTCAATCAGAACACTTTTGCAGATTATCACTAGTCATGCTGCTGAGTGACCCAATTAGACCCTCTCCCCATGACTCCTTGTTTTTATTAACACTATTCATTTTTTTAATGGATTGAGAGGACATTCCAACACATGAGCACTCACCAAGCCACCCCTTGTTTTACTAAAAACCAGCAAGGTTTCCCCTCTCCACCTGTATCATCATGTATGTTCCTCTTCATTAGCCTTTTGACTTTTACAAATATACATAGCACAATCTTGTTCTTTGAAGGTTATGTACTTCCTACTCCAGTGCTTGACTGCACATCTACCTTAATTTCTTCCTTAATTCACCATTGCATATCTATTCTTTTTGCAGCAATCTTTAAACTAGCTCTCTACAAATACAGTCTGGAGAATAAAATGTGTGCTTTTGAATAAGCTAGAAAGGCTCAGGAGCACTTATCCTCAGAGAGGGGAAAGAAGAAGAAAAAAATCTAGTGGAAATTCTGACAATAGAACTAACCCATATCAAAATATTGCCGCTGAATTGGAAGCTGCCTCCTCTTTTGAAATCCAGCAAGCAAAGCTGCAGGCTCACCTCCCCCTCTATGTATATCATTCTTGCTTCCTTCAAAAGAGTGTTGTTTTTGCCTGGGAAATGCATTCCAAGAAGTGGTAATTCCCAAAGAAGCCATTGGCTCGGGTTTGTTCCTCTGTTGTCTGAGCTGCCTTTCTAGTACATTAATCAGGTTAGCAAGAAAGAATTTCCTTTCGAATCACTAATGCTAATACCAACCCTAGGCAAGAAATGGTGCTTGTCTGTCTGAGGCCAAAGCGCAACAGGGGAAGGCAAGAGCAGCAAGCTCTCGAGAATTGTTCCAGGGAAGTTGAAAGAAACAGCAAAATAAACTCGCCCCAAAATAAAAACAACCCTCCACCACACCCCAACCAAGTCAGATCAAATACTTACCGGGGACTTTCTCTCAGGAGGGCAAACTCCTTCTGAAGGATTATCTCCTGCAGAAATAAAAGTGAACAGAGTCTCCTTAGATTCTTTTCTCCCTGAGAGGTCCATCCTATGCTTTTCCTTTTTTCCCTCCCCAGTTTGCCTCACACAACTCTCTGCTGTCGTGGTGAGTTGGTTGGGAAGACTTCCAAATGAGTGGAGTTTAGTTCAGATTTAAGTTAACCCTGATTGTGCACATTTTTCTCTCTGCCAGGCTGAGGCAGGAGGAGAGCTTCATGAGGAAGGAGAAGAGCAAAGTTAAACTGGGCTGGTGAAACTGTCACTAAATCACAACGCACAGGGCTGTCCTCAGCACCTGCAGGCAGGGCTGTGTGCCGTTTGCTCTGAGCACACTTCAGGTACTCTGAGTAACCCTTGTGTTGAGTCAAGCGAAATGCATACTGAATGATAATCCCTATTCCAAATGTTGAAACTCATAATTAGTGGCAAGGTTTGTGGCTTTGGGCCATCTCTGCTATAATAGCAGGCTTATTCTGCAGGAACCACAGGCATCCCTGCCTATTTGAAACTAGCTGGCTGAAGCAAAATGATGCATTGAGAGCTCAGAGCAAATGAGCTCTGTGTGGCTTACACTTAGATTTCTGATGCTCATTTGCTATTTAGGCGCTGCTTGGCTTTAAAAGACTCTGATATCTCACTAATAAAATGCTCCCCAATAAGCTTGCCACAGGAAGAGCAAGATATAAGAGCAATAAATAAATGCATACATAAAATAAATAACTGTGAAGAGCTCTTCATATTTCTTTTGATTGACCCTCTTTTTAATAGTCTCTTATCTGTGCAGCCACCGTAGGCTACTAGTATAGGTAATAAATGGATTCCTCATGCACCCCTCTGCAGAGATAAGGGCAGGGCTTGTATGTAACTGTTTTTGTGTTTTGTGAGATGCTTCCCGCAGGGTTGTTTATAGCTCACCCTGCTCCACAGGAGGAGATTAGCTAGCAACGCTAGTACCTCACAAAGGACTTACCATTTTTGAACAAAGAGGTGGGGGAGAACAGGAAACCTAGAACTACTGTGTATAATTAAAAGTGTGTAATATGCCCAGCCCCTCAAAATCCACTCCCTCCAGATTTATTTGTCCATATTGGCCTCTGCCCGGTTTTTGCTCATATTGTAAAAATAAAAATCCATCCATTTATATCTCCTCATCTCCCACTGTGAGAACATACAGGACAAAAGGAGAAGAGTCACAGCCATTGCTCCACTCACTTTTGCCTTGGGCTCTGCCTACCACTTGTAGGTGACCATTGAGACCTCATCCATGAGGAAATGTGGCTCTTGGGCTGAATAAGGTACCCTACCCCTAGGGCTTTTAAAAATCTTGCTGTACCATTCAGGCAGCAGCTCCACTTTTTCTCTCTCTCTCTCTCTCATGGCAGTGACAGACTTTGGGCTCTCAAGTTTCAGCAGTGCCTTGTGCAATGGCAACATTTGGCCCCACACCGCCTCTTGGGCTCCATGCTACAGCACTGTTGTGGCAGCTGCACCGGTTGTGCTACCCTAAAACCGCCTCTGCTCATGGTGCTGCCTCAAGCATGATTACTTCTTTCTAGGCTGCACACGAGAGTCTATCCTGACTGTGATCAAAGTTTCTGCAGCTGCATGTGTACAGGAGACTCTACTGCCTGGGCAAAGGAGGACTGGGATATAAATTTATCTTCTCGTCTTTCCAGTTGTCCTACTTAGGTTAAGTTGTGACTCTCCAGATGTCGCTGGCAAGTGTGTCAGCTTGCCCCCATGACTGAGAGGGCCTTGGCCGTGTAACATGCTGATGTCACTTGCGCATGCTGTGTAGTGTGCTGATGTGTCATATGCACGCTGCCCGGCTTGTGTGAATGTCAGCATACCTCACGGTGTACACACATGGCCACCATGGGATTTTGAGGAGGCCAGGCCCCCACACCTTGAAAATTTGGAGGGCCCCCAGACGCCCCTAGCTGCTGGACTCCCACTTCCATCAACCCAAGCCAGCACAACCACTGGTCAGGAATGATGGGAGTTGTAGTGTAGCAACATCTGGAGGGCCAAAAGTTCCCCCTCCCCTGTTCTAGACAAATGTATTACAAGCACAAACCATACCAGAACCAAATTACAACCTGAAGTTCACAGTCTCTCATTTCTTATCAGCCCCAAGATCAAATTGCATGCTACCTCTGCAATCAATACAGAAACAGCCAACATTATTTCCACTGCATCGCTCCCTTCAGGGACACCCACGGCCAGGGCTCCTATGTTTTATCTGCTCCTTGTTTTGTTATTGTAATGTAGGACCCTTCTTTCCTTGCTGCTGTTTGTTGCTTCGCATTTTAAGGTGAACGACATTATAGGAACACACACCCCTATTATTTTTTCTGCTGCTCAAGTCTTGGCAAAAATCTCTGTCATTTTTGTTGCTGCTGCTGTCTGTCATACAAGTGCTGAGCAACTTGCTAAAGGGCATGTCTATAGCCACAAGATGACTTGGGAGGGTAAAGGCCTTACCCCCGTACCATTCCTGGCCCTCCTGCAAGTTCTTTACTGGCTGTTTTACGTCCAACAACAAAAAGCAACATCATTCGTACTAAAAAGGCAATTCACACTGCCCCTGTCTCTGGACAGAGCAATGCATTGGGGGGACAGCTGTAGCTCAGTGGTAGAACATCTGCTCTGCATGCAGAAGAACAGAGATTCAATCCTCATCATCTGCAGGCAGAGCTGGGGATGTCCCCAGTCTGAAACTCTAGAGAGCTGCTACTAGTCTGTGAGGACAATACTGAGCTTGGTGGACCAGTGGTCCGAATCAGTATAAGGCAGCTTCTTCTGTTCATATCTGACGCAAGGCTGCTGCTAAAAATGGCAGCTGCTTGTCTAGTTCTCCCTCTTCTCCCATGTAGTTTTTAGCCATACATTGCATTGCAAGGTGACTGGGATGTGAACTTTTCTGCCATCACTCCATATTTGGCTCCTGCTGGCAGCAGTGGGGAAACGCCAAATGTTATCATACATAGGAGTCTACTCCTTTGGCCTCCCACCAAAGATGATGGGCATTGGTATTCAAACGGTGTCTGCATGCCACATCTTGTGATCACTTAAGCAGTGTGGGGCTTACCTGGGCCCCTCCCAATATTTTATTCAAGTTGGCATCCCTGTGATGATACCACACAACAAGAGAAGACGTGCCTAAATGAGCATGGCGTTGAGATGGAATAACTCAACATTGGGCTACATTTTTAGAGGCAGCCCTGTGTGTTCAGCATAACATGTAGTGTTGCTCCCATTTAGAGGAAGTGCAAGGATGGGGTTTTGTGGATTATTGCTTAAATATATGCATTGGTGTTCACTTCCCTCATTAGCTAGCTATGAGTAAGATCTGAAGCAAGGCACCATTAATTAACAAATGACCTCAGCAGCACCAATCTGATGTCCCACCCTGCTTTACCTTTAGGCTGTCATCTTTCTACACCGCAAAAGCCTCACCAATTTATTCTTTTTCTGAAACTCTTTCCAAGGCTGTCTGTCAGATTAAACCTACTGTGCTGATTTTCGTGTTGTTTTTACAGAGTCCCTGAGAAGTGATCTTAATGTTTATTGCTTAGCAAGAACCTTAGGGACAGAATGTGGATGGTAAAAACCCATTTATTTTGCACTAGGGGGGTAATAAAACCCTAGGAAGAGTGCTTAATATGTTAACGCTGCAATACTAACCCCATTACCTGGGAATAACCCCGCTGAATTCAGTAGGAGGTGCTTCTGTGTAGACATGGTTAGTAATGTATTTAATTCTGTTCATATCTTATTCACGTTACATTTTATTTAAATTCTTTAAGAAATGAAGTCTGCTGCAATCCTGTACATCTTTACCTAGGAGAAATTCCCACTGAACAAACAAGATGAATTTTAACAGGGAGAAATGTACAGTATTGCACTTGGGCAAAAAAAAATGAGAGGCACAAATACAAGATGGGGGACACCTGGCTTGAGAGCAGTACATGTGAAAAGGATCTAGGAGTCTTGGTTGACCACAAACTTGACATGAGCCAACAGTGTGACGCGGCAGCTAAAAAAGCCAATGCAATTCTGGGCTGCATCAATAGGAGTATAGCATCTAGATCAAGGGAAGTAATAGTGCCACTGTATTCTGCTCTGGTCAGACCTCACCTGGAGTACTGTGTTCACTTCTGGGCACCACAGTTCAAGAAGGACACTGACAAACTGGAACGTGTCCAGAGGAGGGCAACCAAAATGGTCAAAGGCCTGGAAATGATGCCTTATGAGGAACGGCTAAGGGAGCTGGGCATGTTTAGCCTGGAGAAGAGGAGGTTAGGGGGTGATATGATAGCCATGTTCAAATATATAAAAGGATGTCACATAGAGGAGGGAGAAAGGTTGTTTTCTGCTGCTCCAGAGAAGCGGACACGGAGCAATGGATGCAAACTACAAGAAAGAAGATTCCACCTAAACATTAGGAAGAACTTCCTGACAGTAAGAGCTGTTCGACAGTGGAATTTGCTGCCAAGGAGTGTGGTGGAGTCTCCTTCTTTGGAGGTCTTTAAGCAGAGGCTTGACAACCATATGTCAGGAGTGCTCTGATGGTGTTTCCTGCTTGGCAGGGGGTTGGACTCGATGGCCCTTGTGGTCTCTTCCAACTCTATGATTCTGTGATTCTGTGAACTCACTGGGGCTTACTTCTGTGCAGATTATGTGTAGGATTGCATGATATAATGTTTGAATAATGGGCAAGATCTATCGCTTCCTCATGCATTGCTCCACACTCATATATCTGCACTTGTGGAAGTGCTTCCCCACAAGGAATACTGAGTCCTTTCTATCTCTCCCACCAGCCTTCAGCCACTTGTAACTACTGCTGCGTGCATTGCAACTCCATCATTACCAAGAACGTGAGGGCTATGAACACATCTTCTTAATATACAGTGGCCTGTTCCTTGCTAGGCCCAAGTATGCAAGAGATATTATTTGCTCACCTGGAGCCCAGGAAAGGAAGGGCCTCTGCATTAGGGATGCTTCCTTTTTTTCATTATTAATTTTTATTAGGTTTTTTTTTAAAAAAATGACAAATTTACTTAACATACAATGTATATATTTTTTCTTTTTGATTGCCCACCCTTTCCATACTGATGTTTTTATTCTTATCCTTAATTGCTGCATTATACTTGGCAAATCCCTGATTTCTGTTCCACATGTGGTTCAGACTGTTCTCTTTTGTCTGGTCCCACATGAGAAAGGAGGATTTTCTATTCCCCCACTTTTTTCCTGCACAGCTGTTTTCCCCCCCATATTGATTTTTATTTCGTTACATAAGGACTTAACATCCAGCATCCAGTTTCTTTTGCTAAACAGATAGCCTGGCACATTCCTGTTTGTTGGGAGAATGAGCCTTTGCAAAACTAAAGAGCAGGCCAAGTATAGGTAATTTGTTGCCATAGTAGTTAATGGTCAGAGATGTCATGTGGGAGCAGTAATGTCAGCATAATAATGTACGCTATGGCATCATATGATGAATAAAAATCCCTTTTTTTGCTGTGCCAGAAAACACGCAGCAATTCACCATGAAAATTTACAGACACATGAATGGGGGGGGGTAGTTCTGGAGTGGACTTTGGGGTACTGGAACATGGCCTAAAATGGCCTCGCATTCTCCGTAATGGCAAGGATGCTTTGCAGTGCACCTTGATGAGTGTCAGAGGAGAGGGATGCAGGAAGCTCCTGCAGCCAATTGGAAGCCACAGAAGCTGTGGTGGACGTTCGGGTTCAAAAAAACATTCGCAAAACGGAACACTCACTTTCGGATTTGCGGCGTTTGGAAGCCAAAACGTTCGACTCACAAGGCATTCGGGATCCAAGGTACGATTTATTGGGTATGGTAATCCCAAACTGTGAAGGGCTTTATATATGAATACAGTGGTACCTTGGTTCTCGAATTTCATCCGTTCTGGGAGTCCATTCAACTCCCGAAAAGGTTTGAAAACCAAGGCACGGCTTCCGATTGGCTGCAGGAGCTTCCTGCACTCAATTGGAAGCCATGTCGGATGTATAGCTTTTGAAAAATGTTTGCAAACTGGAACACTCACTTCCAGGTTTGCAGCGTTCAGGGGCCGTTTTGTTCAGGAGCCAAGCCATTCGACAACCAAGGTACCATTGTAGTAACACCTTGAACTTGGTCCTATAGCAAGCAGGCAGCCCTGCTAACCTCTGAGCTCAGGTGTTATATGCTGACAGGGTCTCACTCCTGTTAGCAATTGTGTTTTAGCATCCTGCAGTAACTACTGTTTCCAGGTCAAGGACAAGGGAAGATAATTCTGATGTCACCAATGCCTGAACTATTGTGGTCAACCTCTGCTGATAAATTTCTAGACTAACTTACCTATGTCATGGCGTTATCATGGGATGCATTCCTTGCCCCACATCACTGGTTTTTGTTAGTAAGTGTTGGAGAACTCGGAAAGGAGACTGGGAGTGCCATTTGTTTTGCATATTATATTAATTCAATTTTTTTACTGTTCTATCTATTCAATTGAGTTCCTTCAATTTACTTTTTTCATCTTTCTGTTTCGTTTCATTACTCTGCTGTGAGCAGCCCTGGAGGGTTTTACTGAACAGCAACATAATGAAAATATTTTCAATGAATAGAACAGAAATTTATTAACATCACTCCATGCATCTACTAACTTAAAATAAATTTAGGTTTCTTTCAGCTTTGCCTTCCTCATCCCTTAGGATCATCCACCACCAAACCTTTGATAAGGGCTCTGCCAAAGGATAATTATCAAACAAGCGGCAGAGTCAAGAAAAGACCTGAGGAACACTGAGCACTAGACACCATCCCTGGCCAGCAAGCTACGTAGTAAATGACCAATATGCAACATAGGAAATCCCAGTGAAGTGACTGGCCCTCATTCATTCCACCAAGATTCTCCACATATGTACTTCATTGTACCTGTAGGAGCTCTGATCCTTTGCAACCGAGAAGTTCTAGTGGAAAAGGGCAACTCTCCTAGAGATGGCTTAGAGTAGAAGAGGACAACTCTACTAGGGTAGCAAAAGAGGACAGGGCTCCTGTGCCTTTAGTAGCGGTGCAGAAAAGGGCATTTCAGCAGCAGTGTAACTGCTCAGCCTTTCAGAGTCTGTGAGCAAGCTTCTTCACACTGAAGCGCCATCTGTACCCCCCAAAGTGTACAAGAAGCTCTGAATGATGGGCAGAGTCACTTTACTTTAGAAGGACTAGGGGTGAGGAAGCATCAAATAGCCACTGACCTCTTTGCTTCTCTTTTCCTCCTTTTGCGCCGCTTTCCTCCTCAGCCATTTCTGCCTTTTCCTCTGCACTCTGCAAATCCAGCTGTGCGCTGGCAGAGGAAGACTTTCTCTAAGACGTCCTGAGCGACTCTGTGCCAAGTCTTGTTAATATTTCACTTTACTGTCTTAGCTCCCTTAGCCACCTCTAAAATACAAGCAAACTTCCTCCCCGCAGCTAAACTTGTTTTTTGGTCAACAAGATTAACTTGTTAACTTAAAGTTACTTATTCCCAGTCTGGCCAAATTAAAAAGCTTGCACAGACAGTCCGCATTTGTGTGTAAATGTAGCCCATTGATTTAAAAAGAGGCTTGACATACTTTTGAGGGTTGCACTTCAGAAATCGCCATTTGTTACGGCAGTGGTGGTTTTTAAAGGGTTTTTTTGTGTATGTATGTTATTGTGGAAACAGGATGCTCGCTCCAGATGAATTAGGCCCAACTCACTGCCTGGCATAAATTGACACAGTCTCCTTATGCCATTTTACACCAGCTTAGATTCAAAACATTTAATGGCTCCATGTGACAGTTCTTAACTTCAGAAGAGGAGACAAGCTTCTTTCAGTCTAAACAGGCTGGCTTTTATTCCTGTTTCTGCACCCTAGATAGGCTTGCCATTGTTCATAATTGTTGTATACTATTCATATTTCAGGACCTTTATCCATCCCAAGTAGAAAACATGTTTCATAATATAAGCGGAGTGTTTTGAGCCCATATGCCGGATGGCTGAGAGACTGCAGTTGGTCTAAGGCCGTTTTTTGAGGTTTGGGGTGAGGGAAATGAAATTTGAATCAATACCTCTATGATGCTTTCTTATGCTGAGGAAGACTCTTGGTCCATAGAACCCAGTGCTATCTATACTACAGTAAATGCCAGGAAATCTCCAGGCAAGGGCAGGAGGTAGAGAACCTGTCTTGCTGATGTGGCAAGTGGCTAAAACTTCCCATAATTCACAGGGTTAAATGGTGATTACAACCTTTAACCCAGATGTTTTGGAAAAAGATTATTTGCTCACAAGCCATTGAGATCTAATTTTAATTTAATGCATCTACAGGGAAAATACCAGCTTCTTACAACTTCTTTAATAATTGCCAAGGTCAATCACTCTAATTCTGTAATGGGTTTTCCACTATTTGGGTGGATACACACAATCATTTCTGTCAGGAAAAGGCCACTTTTTGTGGTTACTATTCTGTTCAATAGTCTAGCAGCAGAGTGGTCCTTAAGGTATTGAGAGCCTTACATACAAATATCTTGAATCTGGCCTGGTAACAAATTGGCAGCCTGTGCAGATCTCTTGAGCAGGGTTGTGATATATGTATGGACAGAGTCTCACTTCTGTGAACATTCATGCTGCATTGCTCTGCACTGTATTTTCCAGACCAATCACAAGCAGTGCATCATAGTAACTACAATGAGTGCATTGAAGTAACCCAGTTTTGAAGTTGTCAGTACCTGGAGTATTGCAGTCAAGCTATCCTGGTCCCAGAACAGTTGCAGCTAGCACAAAAGCCAAGAATGATAAAAGGTGGTCCTAGCCACTGAGGCCATCTGAGCCTCTGGTGACAAAGCTGGATCCCAAAGCATGCCCAAACTGTGAATCTGCTCCTTCAGAGAGTATATCTCCATCCAAGGCATGCAAGTGACCAATTTACTGCACACAGGAACCACTCTCCCATAACAATTCCATCAGGGCCCCAACTCCAGAAGGCCTAGTTTTGCCGCCACTCCTTTTTTGTGGGGGGGGGGGAGCCCGCCATGTTCCCCTACAGTTAGGGGATGGGACCACACATCTAGGCCTCTGGCCCAAATTATCGCTAGCCCTTTCACTCATGCTCTACTTTCCCCTGCCCAGAACCAGCAACACTGAAGCACCATCGCTGTAGCTCCCTGTCACATGCCCACACAGACAAATCTTGACAGCATCAACTAATAACACCGCATAAAGCATGAAGGTTAGGGTTTCAGATGTTAAACTAAGGGTCTGTAATAATCACAGACAGAAGATACTAAACCTTTAACTGCACTGGGGTTTGTATTCAGCTAAGTTATAGAGCAGACCCATTGAAATCAATGCAATTAAGTAGGACATGCCAGTGCGTTTCCACTGAGTCTGACTTAGCTGGATACAATCCATTATCATTATTATGGTCATAACATTCCTTTCCTATTGGTAAACATGCTCCCCACCCCCGGGGGAAAAAATCAATAAAACTGTAAGTTCAAAAAGACTCCCCCACAAGCCATGTGATTTACAAAACAGTCAGGCCTGCTTCTGACCTTAAAACACAAAATCAATTTGGAGTGTTCAAACTATTGTCCTTTGAATATTTCTTGAAAGTTCACGTATTAGAACAGCACATGTTTCCATCTTCTCAATTTGTTTTCCCTTTTATCTGCTCTTTGATTTAGTAATACTGCACACATTTTAAACCATTTTGGAGTGCAAGGCATTTTAAAATAAAACCACACCTTGGTACAATCAATAAACAACTGCACTATGATGATTTACATTTCCAAGGAAGGTCAATAACACTATTCATGAAGAATTTCACCATCCATGAAAAAAAATGAGAACTGCAATTTTTAAGAGGTTACAGTATGAACAAAGGCTGCAATCATATGCACACTTATCTGCCCTATTGAAGTAAAAGACATGTACTGTATGGGATTGCACTGAAAGACTGCACTCCACAACACACTGGGAAGAAAGTCCTACTGAACAAAATGAGGCTCCCTTCTGAATAAACTAGATCAGTTGTTTGATCCATGCATGCATGTGCACACATTTTAAAGTTACAAAGTTACTGCACATAGAAAGGAAGTTATACTGTTTGTCACAGTACTATAATAGTCATGAAGTCAAGCCTATCCTTTGTCTTGACATTTGTACAACTAGTCCAGACTATGCAAACTATCGTGGTAAGGGTACTACCCACAGGAGAAATTACCATGTTTGCAGAGACAAAATATTGTAATTTTGGTGCTGTGGAATGAAAATGTATCCACAGTGTAAGTGCTCTTGAGGGATGATATTTAGATTCCCCGCAACAATAGCCCAGTTATTGTTCAAAGTGATGCTGCAGATGCTGAAGCCCAGAATCACTTCATAATTGACAGCGTAAAAATACATTTTCAGCTTCATCCAGAACCTGAGTTTTGTCCATCTCCTAATTTCATGCCCAATAGCTCAGTTATTAAGCCCCCGGTGGCATGTTACTTATCTAATAAGGACCTTTGAAGAGTGATGTGTTAATCATTTCAGAGGAGATAAACAAATCATTAAAAGATGCTTGTGAACTGCCTCCAAATAAATTATAGAACATGATAGGATTGCTACGGTGTATCTTATCACCGGAAGATGGGAATTAATGTTTTAAGGATCTGCGCCATGTCAAATTTAATATAACATGACATGGGAACAACAACACCAGAGGAATCGCATTCACATTTGCCTAACACAAATGTCACAGAGAAATTGTTACAATGGCTACCTTTGTATATTTCCCCTGAGATGCTAACATTTCATCAGGTAAAGGCAGCATCTATGGCTGTACTGAGATGTGGGGTTTACTGTGTTAGTTTTACTTGTTATAATGCTAGCACTGCTGTCTCATGTGTTGCTGAAAGCCATGGAGCATTGTGGGGCCCAGAGAAAGCAAAGAAGGGCAGGGAGAAGGGAGAAGAAAATTGCCGTACACAGAGACAAAAAGGATGAAGCAATGGAAGGGAAGAAACCATTTACAAGCAATCCATTCTGGCCTGTTAATGGAGAGAGAGAGAGAGAGAGAGATTTGGTTCTGCCTTTGCCCACTTTCTTCATTTTATTTCTTTTTCTTCCTCCACCACCCTTCTTCTTTCATGGAACCCAACCAAGGCAGCATACATGCACACTTTGGGCTCTGCCTAATACAAATGTAGCAGAGAAATTGTTACAGTGGCTCCCTTTGACGATGGTCCAGGCCACTGGCTGCATGTGGCCTCCAATGGATTATCCCTGAGGGAACATGGCCCTCAACACAATTAATAGCACTACTAGTAGTAGTACTTATATGCTGCCCATCTGACTGGGTTGCCCCAGCCACTCTGGGTGGCTTCTAGCAAAATATAAAAACACAATAAAACACCAAACATTAAAAAAACTTCCCCATAGAGGACTGCCTTCGGACGTATTCTAAAAGTCATATATCTTTTTGACATCTGGTGAGAGAGCGGACACCGCTACTGAGAAGGCCCTGTGCCTTCTCAGTGAGGGATCCACTAGAAGGCCCTTGTAGCTGGACCTCAGCCCCAACCCTACTTTATGGGTTAGGGCTGGAAATGCTGTGTGTTTCCTCCATGGTTAAGAAAGCCTAGGCAATATCAGGTCCCAAATTGCAACTTGCAAGGCCCATCTGTGTGTACTTGCCTATCCTGTAATCTACATACATAGATGGAAACACTGGTAAATTAAAAGTGAGCAGATGCTCAGCAAACCCAAATCTATCCTGTTTATGGGGGAAATCAGGTTCATGTGGAATGTAGAAATCTAGAGCTAGCTCAGCATCTCCTGAATATACGGTATATCCTGTTTCTTACCGAATAATGAGCACATACCAAGAAATTGTGAGAGTTACATTACTGCCTTTATTGAAAAACACACCTCCCTTACCGACCACAATCTCTGGAAACTCTCCTTCCTATTGCAGCCCAGCAAATATGGGGTCCTGCACTGCCTGGTGTGAACACAGAAGTCAGAGGTGATCACAAATCAGTGAGCGAGACGGTGAGCTTAAATGTGAGCCAGCTAGCTTGAACATACCCCTGGTCAATGAGTCACATTTGGGAACTGATTCGCTCCAAGTTTCTGGCCTTCAATACTTGGAAGCTGTGTACCAGACTGAGGGAGTTTGGTCAGTCTCCTTCTCCGTTGGTCATTCATGCTGATGAACTGGCTCGTTTCAGATACATACTGATGCTTTTCACCCTGGACTTCAGATAAGAGGCGACATTGTGTTGTTCTTCTGAGCAGTCTGTGTTTTGTTGGGAGAGAAATGTCACCCCCCAGGAGAGCTGATAGAGGTCCCTTTTTCCGACCTTGCAGTGCACCCTTAGAATCTGCCTGTGTCTGCTTCCCCTCAGGTGGCGCCTCCCTGCTTCCATTAGCTGAGCCATTCCCCTCAGGCTCTCCTAAACTGCGTCGTTCAACTGAGTCGTTCCTCTCAGGCTTTCCTTTACCGGGTTCTTTAGCTAAGTCATTCCCCTCAGGCTGTTCTTCGAGTCCTTTAGATGAGCTGCTCCCCCCAGGCTCTGCCTTACTTTGTCCATCAGGCACCCTAGTCTTCCCTGCCCGGGACTTGCTCCTACCACCGTGCGACGACCTCCTTCCAGCTTGAGACTTGCTCCTCTTGCCATACAGCTTTCTTACCCGAATCTGGGGCTCTTTCCTTTTCAGTGGCAGCACTCTGCCACCAGAGGAAGTCAGATGTGTTTGAGGAGCCACTTTAGTATCAGCACAAGCCTTTCCCTTCATACCATTGAATTCTGTTCCCTTCCCAGGTTCAGACTCTATCGTAAGCCTGGGCTTCTCACCTTTGGACTCCGGCTTGTCATCCTTCGGCTCATTCTTTCTGAGCAGCTTTTCGCTTTTCACAGCACGTGGGTTGCTTCTTTCTGGCGGTTGCTTCTGTTTCCCAGCATGAGGCTCCCTATTCCAAGCCTGAGGGTTGTGTTCAGAAACCACCTTGTGCTTCATAGCTGATTCATTACACACAGGGTCTGGTTTCTTGTGACTGAGGGACCCCTTATCTGGCCTGGGCTGCCCCTCGTCCTGCCTAGGCTGCTCTTTTTTCCTTGTGGCATGCCCCTTGTCCTTATCCGTATGCCCCTCCCCCAGCCTAACAACTCCTGGGTTGTTCTTATCTGATGGGGGATGCCCCTCGTCCACTCTCTGTTGCCTCATGTTTGCCTTGAGATGCCCTTCGTCTGGTCCAGAATTCTCACCTGGCTTGGGAAACACAAAATACCCTTTATCTGACTTGGAGTGTTCCACTTCTGGGCGAGATGGTCCCTTATTAGTCTTATGCCCCTCTTTCAGATCACATTTCCCTTCCCCTGGCCTAGGACAACCCCTGTCTGACCTGAGATGTTCCTCACTAGCCTTTGGACCTTGTGCTGCTTTTGCCCAGCGATGACCAGCATTAGCCCCAGAAAAGCACTTGTCTTTCTCATGTTGCTTTCCTTCAGCCCAGTCTCGACACTCTTCTGCCCAGTCTCGCCATTGGCTTGCCCAGCGCCGCCAGCCTTCTGCCCACCGACGCCTTTCACATGTCCAAAACCGATTCTTTTCTGGATAATAGTAGCCCCTGTCCAACCTGTAATCCCAGTTGTTTGCGTTAATTTCTCTATCGTAAACAGGTATGCCTGCAAGAGCCAGAATATATTGGTCAACTGGAGGTCTGTTCCAGTGATGGAGCTACAGAAATAAGCCTAGGATCTGCATTTACACACTCTTTCCATGTCCAGCATGATTAAAAATTATCACACAATTTCAGGGCATGGTTTATGTTTCTCCCATAGAATGAAATTTGTAGAGCATGTAAACATCCAGAATTATTATGACTCGCTGACAATAATGTTAACTATTCTGTTGCATTCTGTTGCATTCAGACTTGGTCATGCTTAGAGTAGACCCACAGAAATCAATGCAACTTGATAGTCACAATCAATGAGATTTCTGTGGGTCTGCTCTAAGCATGACTAAGTCTAGATCCAATCCTTTTTGTCACCCTTATATCCTATTTGCACTAAGGGTATGCTGAATTCAGCCACACATGTTCTCTCTCAGTCCCTGGTCTCTAAGTCCCTATGTTGTCTGAGGCATACAGCAAGGGATCTTGAATATCCCACCATCTACCAGATGGCCCACCAGAATTTGGTCAGTGGTCTGCATTTGGTGGCTTTAGTAGGAACACCAATCGTACTCACACAAAGGAAATACCCAAGAAAAAGAGTAAACAGATTGGGTTGTATTCAATGCTGTGTAAGCAAAATTCCATTCATGCAACAGGACTTTCCAGAGATTCCCTGGGGCAAATTGTAAGGGTGTGTAAAAGCTATACAGGGGAGGAAGTTCCTTTGTGCCAAGCAGAAGTCTGTTATGTGAATGGAACAGAGGCACTGCATGCCACTCATTATCATGTCCCAAGGAAGTTAGGATAATAATGCACCACACACATTCAACAGGGGAGAGAGAAGCAGACATTGAAGGAGATATAAGACAGGTAATGGAGAACAGTGCCTGAATTGACTAAGGTGCATAATTTTGCCAAGTAAATGAGAACAAGACTAGAATAAACCAGAGAGGGTTCATTTTTTGCACCCAGCATCCCCTGGTTTATGCTGGTTGTGCTGGTTATAATTCTTTTATCTGCTGTGTCTTGTGCTACTTTGGGGATAGCATTGCTGGCTTTTATTTTTTGGTTTTTAGGTTTAGGTGTTTTGTTTTGTTCTGGTTTTGTAAACAGGACTTTGTATTTTATTGTCTTTGTTAAGTGCCCAGAGGACTTGGTCAGATGGGCAATATATAAATGCTGCTATCATCATCATGACCAAATGGGTTTTATTCAGTGTTAGTCATACTCAGAGTAGACACACTGAAATTATTGAAAATGCATACCCTAGGCTCATTAATTTCAATAGGTCTACTCTACATAGGACTTTGTTGGCAATAGCTTGATGTTACCCTCTTCCCCCTGCCTGCCATTCCAGGAGTTAATATTGTGAATATTGTAGATTCCCTAGATTACACCAATACAACATATGCTAATCAATGAAATTGTTCTGTCTTTTCCATTGTTTATTCCAGATTTGAGTGTATTTGGCATATATCCTGCGCCTTTATTCATTCATTCATTCATTTGTTCAGTCATTTGTTTGCTTGCAGAGCTAATCATCCTTACCTATAATTCACAGGACAAAGAACATGTTTTCTTATTGGGTTGTTTTGTTTTTTGTTTGCCTAATGAGCTGTGAGAGAATAAGGTGGTTTTCAAACAAAAGGAAACAAAAAACCCTCTGAGTCAGAATTTTCTGGGTGTCTCAATTTTCAAGAGGGAAAGCATGCGTTCTGAAAACCAGGCTCCTTGGAGGTGCCCTATACACACTGAGGTAAGCATTTAACACCTGTCACAAGGCATAATACAGCCCACTCAAATTTACCATTAACATGGATAGATACCGTCTTCCCGTCCTCTTCAACTTCCAAGTACTTGCTTTCATTCTCGAGATGTCTGAAGGGGAGAAATGTCACATAGTTACCTGACCATACAAGGGACAGATGCCTTAGGAACAAGAGAAGCCTCCATATTATAGCCTCCTTGTTCAAACACTCATTTGGATAGATCCCTATGTGCATATGAGAACTTTATTTGCTCCTATATATGTGTAGGAATCTACCCGTCAAGTCACTGTTGTCTCAAATATTCATCTAATAAAAGTTTCCGCACAAATTCTGTAAGGCAGACATATGACTGTTAAACTCACTCACATACCTCTTTCCTCTAAAGATGTACAGATACCTTCTCACATCCTGTACACCTGAGAGAGTCAGACACATTACTTGCTTGCTACCCTAAGGACTCCAAGCAACATACAAAGTATAAACACAGATGCATTACATTGTCCTGGACCCAGGAGTTAGGAACATAAAACAAGCCTGCTGGATCAGGCCAATGGCCCATCTTGTCCAGCATCCTGTTCTCACAGTGGTCAAACAAATGTCTGTGGGAAGCCTGCAAGCTGGACATGAGTGCACACCTGTAATTCCCAGCAACTGGTATTTCAGAGGCATTTTGCTTTTGGACATGCTTGCACATTGCAAACACACAGAGTTATGCAGCCAGGAGAATCAAGACTTAAGGAGAAGATTCCTACAAAGATGTCTGTCCCCCCACTTACCTTTTGGTTGTGATTTTTTTGCCATTCATGAAGGCAGTCATGATGGAAAAGTGATGGAACCTTTTAGGAGCGCTGAAGAAGGATACAGAAAAATCTGAAACACACAGGTTGCCACATACTCATTATGAAGTGCATCCAGGCCACAAATTACACATACACACACAAAACAAGCACACTGTAATTCATCTTTCATCCTCTCTTGTAAGATGCTCTGGTCAGGGGTAGCTAACTCAGTGCCCTCCAGAAGTTGCTGTAATCATAGCAATGCTGCCTGGGTGTGATGCAGGTTTGATTTCCAAAACATCAGGAGGTTATAATATTGTCTACACTTGCTCTTGTCAATTACCTCAGCGATACTAGTTATAAGACTAAAAAGGACCTCTGGAGCTATTGAACTTGCTCCCTAAGGATCAAATCACCTTCACAGCAGCTTCCGCCCCAGCAGACTTTTACATCAGATTTAGTGATTTTTCTGATAACACTGGCAATGGGAGGAAGGGTTGCTGGTAACAACAGCAGAAGTCTTATGCTGCTGTTTAGTCACCATTTTGGCACAAAGCACCAGAAGGACAAGTGGGACTGAAATACTGAAACCAGAAATAGGCCGAGGGACAGAGAGAAAGAGAGAGAAATGATGATGATGATGATCAACACACCCTTCCAAATAATCTTTTCCTTAGGCATTGCTCTTCTGCTCTCTTTCTACAGCATAGTTTTATGCCTGGCCTGTATGTATTCTCAGTTTGGTTAAATCCTTAAAACCTGTCTATTTATTTCTCTTTCTATCAGAATACTGTGCCACAAACAGAAGCCTCACCACAGGTACCTGCAGGTATAGGTACCTGCAGTGCTATTTTTCTAGAAAAAGAGGTGCCAGAACTCACCATGATCGCCTCCCTTGTTCTCTTATCATGGTAATGGAGCCCACCTGAGATGTGCCAGAACTGAGTTCCAGCAAGTTCCGGCAAGTTCCGGCTGGAAAAAAGCCCTGGGTACTTGAATTAGCAGTCCTAAGCTAACAGCAGTGGCAACCAACAGGCTTCACAGCAGAGCAGTTTTCCAGAAAGGATGTAAAGGTTACCTGAAGAAGAACGTTGTTTTGTGAAGAATATTTTGATGCCATCGTGATCAAACACAGACAGGTGCTTCTCATCCTCAGATCTCTCTAAGGAGAGAGAAAGGGAAACAATTCCAAATGCTGTGCTGTTTGAAAGGGATATGTAAATAGCATGGTTTTGAAAAATAAAAATGAGCTGTTACAACATCACCAAAGTTGTTGCATCTTCTCCTTCCAGGATGTATGGGAGGATTAAGGAAAGGAGGCAAAAGAATCTCTCCTTGGAGGCAAAACTAGTTATTTCCTCCAAGTTGCTTTCCAATCTACCAGGCTGCAGCAGTCATGGAACCCCTAGATACAGTCAACCTACATGTATTATAGTAGCTATTTTCAACCGGCGGCATGCTTCTTTGTGCGTAAGGAAACAGAATTAGATTCTGGATCTCTTTAAACACATATGGGTGAAGAAGACTTTTGAAAACCATTCATAGCTCTTGAGGTATGTGTACAAAGGGGTGAGGAACATTTTGGGCTCTGCAGGTGGTGAGATGATACATCTGGCAGTCACAACAGCACTATGGGCATCACATGTTTGACAGGTGGGTTGCTCCACACACCCACTGAAATCTTTTGTGGTCCCCACAATCCTGTCTGAGCACAGAATAGGGCTGAATGCTCTTTGCAGAAGTTTCTCTCACACTTTTAAAGATTGCTGGAGCAATCTTTTTTAAAAGTGGGTGAAACAGCTGCAAAGAGTGTTCAGTTGCTTTCCTGAGCCCAGTGCTAAACAGAACCATTAATGTCCTGTTAGGAACGGAGTGAGAAATTTGCTTTCTTAGCATTTTAATGCAAACCTACCCAATTCGCATATCCAATACACAAAACAAAACACAGCTATCTTTCAAAAGTCAGACCTCTCTGAATTTTGCAACACCATTTTCCAGCAAAATAAGTGTACAAAAAAGTGTACATATATTCATGAAAATCATGTTCCAAAATGCATCAGGCTAGAGGAAATTGGTTGAAAAACTGGATAGAGTGGATGCAATGTCACATGCAAAAATCATGCACTTTAGGGGAAATGAATGCAAAAATATATGGGCTTCAAGAAAAAAATGCAAACTGATGTGGAAATGTGGTGAAAGGCTGGAAAAATGTGAATCCAAGAGGAACTGAAGTGGACAGGTTGGTAAGCCCCACTAAGCCTTAGAGATGTTAATAGGCTTAATCAGAGGTTGGGACGAGGCCCTTGGCCTCTTCTCTAGACTACTCACTTGTTTCTTTGAACGTCTCTGTGCTGCTCCCATCATACTGGTTACGCGTGCTTCCTGGAATAGAAGTAAAGGTGGAAGGAAATTTCAAGCTGCCTCTTCATCTCTAGCTTTGAGTTTTCCAGTTTTATTGCTGCTGTTCTGCATCATGTTAAAGAGACCAAGAAGTCCCTGGTTCAAACCACACCACATCCATAAATCCAGCTCAGTGACTATTAGACAAGCCGCTGTCTCTGGACTTCAGTTCTCTCCATTTCTATGCAACCCTTCATCCGAGGCTCACAGGGCAGTTTACATTATAAAAACACAAAAATACATAACACAGTAAGAAACAAAAACAGTTTAAAAGGCCATAACTCGCGAATTAAACAAAGACCTGGGAGAAGAGGAATGTTTTTGCCTGTTGCCAAAAGATACGATGAAGGCGCCAGGTGAGCCTCCCTGGGGGAAGCATGGCTGGGAAGTGTATGTGAAGAATGTAATATCAGTTTGACAGTGGGGAGATGCACAGCGCATGATGGGGTGTGGTATCTTTTCCAACTGCTGGGCCAGAACATGACTTCCACTGCCACCTCCAGGCCACTTTGACAGGTGGGCAGAGCCGCCCAATTGTTAATTGTCTTATTATGATGGCAGGTGACAACTTCAGAGGGGCCTGCTGTTAGTGCTGATTAACTGATTTATATTGACGGTGAGCCCCACGTTGGCCTTTTGCAGGCATGGTTTGGATGCAAACCATGCCTGCAAAAGGATATTGTTTCTCTGCAGCTCTTTGCAAAGCTGGTCTACAAAATAAAAATGTCCAGTTACAAGTGCAGTTTGACTCCAAACCACACCAGCTTCAAAAGGCCTTGCTGTTAGTGAGCTCCGCTTGCCAAGGAACAATCAAGAGTGTGCTTAAAACTCCTTATTGTTTCTTTGCAACCACGTATTTACGTGCCCCACACCTGATGTTCCAAATGATGTCGGGTGCAGAGCAGGTGGGTGTTGTTTGGGGAAAACAGCCTTGCAGCCCAAATGGAGACTCCTGCTGAGTCTAATTTGACCCACAGTCCAAACTGTATTATTATGCTATATCTTACTAGGAATTGGAGATAAAGGAGAACAGAGTTGTGGCAGATCCATATTTCTTGTAAAGTTTAGCTCCAATCATAGTTAGTTTCTCCATATTCAAGCCTTTTTTAAGAAAAAAAATCATTCTGTCAGCAAGGTAGAAGGTTGAACTTCCATCCTTCCAAAGATAATTGTAAATGGAGATTAGATTAAGCAGCTTAAACTGGAGTGGAAGGAAACAAAGGTCAAATGTGGGAATGGTCTCATATGTGCATTGAAGGATTGGGAGAAAATATGTTAACAATTCCGACTATGCAAACAAAAAGATGAAGGAAGGAAGTTTGGAATTACTTATGCAACCTTGTGTCGCTGCCTAAAGAATGGAGTGTTACTATTTTTATTTGTTCATTTATTTGCATTCTAGAGCAGTTGACAAAGTTTAATCCATGTTCATTATGTTTTTATTTGGGATTAATCAGTCAAAAATAATTTAGCTGTTGTGACTGTGAATGTTCTATTGGAGAGAGGAAGAAAAGGAGCACTGAAGAGCAACTGGGTGCCTTACTGTCTGAAAGGACTTTGTAGGCTTCCACAACCTCCTTGAACTTCTGTTCAGCTTCTGCCCTGTTATCTGGATTTTTATCTGGGTGCCATCTGAGCACTTTACTCCTGTACCTGCACAGTTCACAAGATGCAACAAACATTAGTGGCTATCCATCCTAGAACTATCCACCTATGCTATCCACCATGATAATGGTGAGAACCACCCAAATAGGCTAGTGACCATCTTCCAGTCCCATTATTCTGGACAGTTTCTCAGACCATGACTTATCATGGTGATGATGAGGCAATAGCTTGCAACTGGATTTCTGCCTCAATTGTCCACGGAGGAAGCCAAGTTAACAACATAGGAACCTGCCTTATACTGAGTCAGATCATTGGTCCATCTGGCTCAGTATTTATCTACAGAAACTCTTGAGGGTTCTTGCCCAGCCCTACCTGGAGATGCCAGGAATTAAACATGGGGCCTTCTAAATGCAAGGCAGGTGCTCTGCTTCTGAACTATGGCACCTTTCCTGATATTAAGTCACTTACTAATATCAAGCCCTGCTGGTAAATGTTGACAGAGAAGCAACATGAGGAACGATTAAGATTACAGGGTTGTAGGAAAAGGGGTGAGGGACGCGGGTGGCGCTGTGGGTTAAACCACAAAGCCTAGGACTTGCTGATCAGAAGGTCGGCGGTTCGAATCCCCGCGACGGGGTGAGCGCCCGTTGCTCGGTCCCTGCTCCTACCAACCTAGCAGTTCGAAAGCACGTCAAAGTGCAAGTAGATAAATAGGTACCGCTCTGGTGGGAAGGTAAACAGCGTTTCTGTGCGCTGCTCTGGTTCACCAGAAGCGGCTTAGTCATGCTGGCCACATGACCCGGAAGCTGTATGCCGGCTCCCTCAGCCAGTAAAGCAAGATGAGCGCCGCAACCCCAGAGTCGGTCACGACTGGACCTAACGGTCAGGGGTCCCCTTTACCTTTACTTAGGAAAAGGGGCACTCCAAGGAAAGATTTCTCTTACGCTCTTTTAATATCACTCATAGAGGCACTTTGGGGAACATCCAGGATTTTGTAGTAATCCACCATGGTGTCCATCCATCCAATGCAAAGGCCAGCTGGGAAGCTGAGGAAGAAGAGCAGCCAGATGTGAGGGTGATTTCTCTTTCTGAAAATACAATGGGAGTACAGAAGCCTTGGGTTGCCTTGAGGTATGCAGAGGCAGAATGTGTTCCGGGGCAGAAGATCTCACATTCCAATTTGGTGTTGATGCCACGACTCCCAGTTCCACCAGCTCTCCCACTTGCGCTTCCCCATCCTTCATGAATTGTGACTCCACACCACTGCACAACATGGCGTCATTATGCAGCCCCCAATCAGAGAGCAGCTCCCTCTCCCTTTTTAAAAAAAGTAACCAAGTTGATGTGTTTTGCGTTGAATGCATATGTCCATCTGTCTTTCAGTGCATTGAGTATGAGCTGTAAATATAGGTGCTCCTAAGACGTAATCACGTTTTATATGAAACATTGTGGGTGGGGGTTCTCACTTCACAATGAAACTCCTGCTACAGCCTCAAATCCCCACAAAAACAATGTCATATCCTGCAGGTAATCAACCATGTTTAATTAAGAAAAGAAATGTCAGCTAATCTGCAACTATTGCCTGCATATTAGGTTTAGTTGAATGTAATTCCAACTGAGCTTAATAGTGCTAATTCTTAAGTAAAGCATGCTTAAATTTATTATAATCTGTCCAGTTGATTTAATATGTTTACTATTTCATTTTCCTGGTCACATAATCTGTCCATCATAGCAAAATTCCAGGTCTAATTCCCTCTTCTCCTATCATTCACATAGCAAGAATGATGCTTAATTAGACTTCTTATTTCCTGTTGCTCCTGTCATGGGCTTCTTCCCACTCTCCTCACAGCCTACAAAGAAGATCCAGAACGTAACATTTTATTTTTCACTTCTAAAGCTTTTATAATGAACCTTCATTTTTCTAAAGCTCAGCTCACAGCCATTCTGTTGACATGGTACAATATGTTCCTGTTTGTGGATTCCTTTCTTTCTTTAAAAAAAAGAAGAGGAAATCTGACCTTTTAGCATTTTATATGTCACTTACTTTTTCTTCTCCCACTAGATGGTTGGTCTTGGATCAGTTATTGCTCTGTTATATCACTGTAGCCAATTCTTAAGTGATTTTTCTTGAGGTTCAGTTCGTTCTTCTGCTTGCCTAACGAGTGATAAAAATTTACACCTATTGTAAAATTGTGAATAAAACGCTGATTGCAGAAAGTAAAGACAATCATGTGCTATAACATTAACTAGCTCCATCATGCTGCGTCACTGTTTAAGGGATTTGCCTCAGCATCAACAGCGTAGTCTTTTCAGTTTCTTGTTAAAGCCGATTACCATTGAAAAACAACAACACATTTTTATTACATTATCAATATAGTTTGACCATAGTTGTTACCTTTGCTGCCAAGAGTGATCAATCTATTAATTATTAAGCCAAATTGTTCTGCTGAGAGATGCCAGGGGCAGGGGTGGGAATCTCTTTCTCCAAAACCAAACCAATGTTTTTTAAAGGTATATTAGCTTGCTGGGTGTCAGAGGAGGGCACAGAAGTTGGAGGCAGTGGAGGTTATTGTTCTCCAACAGTCCGTGGAACGAAAGCTTCTGCTAAGATAAGTCAGAATTCCACCGGAAGAACAAGAGAAGTGATGTCACACACAGGCAATGGAACCACACTCCTTCAAACCAATCCCTTGCAGGCAGTGTTCTAAGAGCAACAAAAGGTAGACCCATCTTCTCAACCTAATCTCTAATGTGCAAATCCAGGTATTCAGGGGCAGATGCAGGCCTGGCCTGGAAACTGCTCACTACTAAGCAACATGGGGGGTAGAGTAACTTGCAAGAGACAATGGTCAAGCGGCAGTTTTCCCCTGCGGCCTGTTGCTTGTGGCAAACACACATCAGTGTATCCCATCTAGGGGGCAACAGCTGGAGGAAGCTGGAAGGGAAATGCACTGGTGAGGGGGTGTGGTTAAACAACCCCTTGCCCCTTCATGGTACCCTCCTTGCTCTTGTTTTAAAGCTAGCCCAGCTCTTGCCTAGCTAGCTTGATCCTTGCTGCCTTGACAGCATGGGATTATCCAGTTTGCTTTATCACTAGGTAAAAAAGGTAAAGGACCCCTGTCAAAGGCAACTGTGGGGTTGCAGTGTTTATCTTGCTTCAGGCCGAGGGAGCCGGCATTGGTCCACAGACAGCTTTCCGGGTCATGTGGCCAGCATGACTAAACTGCTTCTGGCACAATGGGACACCGTAACGGAAACCAGGGTGCACAGAAATGCCATTTACCTTCCCGCTACAGTGGTACCTATTTATCTACTTGCACTGGTGTGCTTTCAAACTGCTAGGTTATCAGGAGCTGGGACAGAGCAACAGGAGATCACCCCATTGCGGAGATTTGAACTGCCGACCTTCTGATGGGCAAGCCCAAGAGGCTCAGTGGTTTAGACCACAGCGCCACCTGCGTTCCCATCCTTATCACAAGGCCAGGCAGCAGTGAGGTAAACAACCTGCCAGCGGAAGTGCCAAACAGCTAAGGAGGGGTGTTAGTGAGATCTGTGGATCTGCAATTTCATAGGTGTGCTTCCGCAATCAAAGGCTGGTGGAAACTAACAAATGGAGCACCATGCACCGAAAAGATTTTAAAAGGCAAGTGCAATTGATTTATGATGAGAAGATCAGGAGAGATAAATATTGCTGTAGAGCTCATCAGGGAGATTATTAGATTGGGAGAAGATAGCAGCCCACACAGTGCTGAGATATAAATACACAAGGAGGGAACAGAATTATCTTGCAAAGTGAAGGAGTGTAAACAAAATGCAAAGGGCAGAATGGAAAAAGAAAGATCCACAGTCCTGGATTTGAAATCATAACAGCTCTGTCAGGCTGCCCTATCGGCTAGCATGATTCACTGCCATTCTAATCGGCTGTGTTGTGGAAATGAGTTTGCCTCAGAAATGTCAGTCTTAAGGCTCTTTCTCACTGTAAGGTATACAGAGGTACTTAATTTGAATGGTGAGCTCATTTTGCAGTCCCCCACTTTTTGTGCAGATGTATAACCTTTCCCAGACCAAGCACAGGGGAAACTGGCTTTGTGCGCTTACAACAGAAGCTAGGTGTGAATAAGGACGGGAGAGAATTTTGTTCAATTGGCATTTAAAGGCAAACCTCCCTGATTTGCACTTTCTGAAACAACACACAGCCACCCATTGAAATCCCCGCTTTTCAAAATTTGGCAATTCAGTTCTCCAGTCAAATATTGTGTACAAAAATGCACATACTGCAGTAAAACATACATAAAAATTCATATATCTATGCAAGCAGCATACAAAAATGCATTCTATTGGGGAAAATTGCTTTGTAAAAATGTGTATATCGTGGAAAATTGCATATAAACGTGTGTATAAAATGAGAAATGCATACTAAAATTGAAACTGAAATTGACAGGTTTACCCATCCCTACCCGCAGAGCATGTGCTGTCTTGATTGGAGAGGTTCATTCTTGGATGTCACGGGGCTGCAATCCTCAGCACGACACAGCATCCTAAACGGACCAGAATGTGCTTATCTGCCCCATTCCCTGTCATGGGTCTCATCTAGAATTGCTACATTGACACAATTACTATAATATACGTGCATTTTTGTATGCATTACTAGGCTGGAGAACAGCATTGCAAAATTTGGAGAAGTGTGAATGTCGAAGGATGGCTGTGTTCCAGTTCATGCATTGTTTCAGAAATTAAGTCAGTTCACCTTTAAATGCAAACTGAATTTAATTCCCCCCCCCCAACCACCATCCCTACCTGCAGAAGAAGCACTGTTTCTCATGCAGAATTCAGCTTCATTGCTGAATTAGCATTAGGATGAACAAGTCCATCTGTCTTCAGGCTCCCTAAAATGCTAAAGCAAAGAGAAAGAACTTTGGATTGGATCCAGGTTTTACGTTTTACAGTCCAATGGCATGATAAGGAAGTATCAATCCAATTCATCAGGCAGGAACAATGCATCTCTTTACTTTGGGTGCATCAGATTTGGAAGGAGACTGGGCTTAAAAGGCAGGAGTTACTTCAGTGTAAGTTCTATGCAAGGAAAATGTTGCTCCATAAATTCTTTGGGGTCGTTCTAGCTATACTTCTGCCTGTCTCTTAGCCTCATGTGAAAGGGTCATGAGGAAAAACTCCTGGGGACAGAAAATGCAGGTGGTCTGTGGCATAATAATGGTGCCATTTTGAAGAGGACTTGTCTTGAAAAGGGGTATTTGGCAGTCTCACAGAAGCTGTGTTCTCATTCTGCAACGTGCCTCGTTTGCACCCAGCCTCCTTCAACTGCCCAGCAGAGAATGCCTGCCTCATGCATCATTTGACTGCTGATACGGTAACAGCCAAGAGAGGGTCAGTGACATTGGATCAATTGTGACAGTTCTTCTCATCCATGCAAGCAGGAATAAGACAGCAAGACCATATTCTTTCTTCGCTTCTCGTTCCTAGACGTAAATTTGAACCAACAGGAATTAAGCATCCGCAATTCTTAACCTTCTCAATCTGTCCCACACACGTACAAGTCACCTCCAGCAGAGCTATTAAGTTATTACATTGCGTTTTTATATGAACATCATTCCCTTTTTCAGAGAGAAGATAAGCTTTCAATTAACGGCAGATTTAAGCCAGCTTTATTGGGAGGGAGGCCAGCCTCATTTCCCGCACAAGGAGGGAGAGAGCTTTCTTCCTTTCCTCTCTGTGCTGTAAAATAATGATGGAAAGGAACATCTCTGTCCATTATGAGAACAACTTTGATTAGATCAAGAGGGCTAACCTCCAATTCTGGCTTGTTAGAATGGATTTTCAGCTATGTAGGAAAGCAATGTGGGGTCCTGGGTTTGTGGCATGCCTGGCCAATTTTAATGCAGAGATACGAGAATACTAAAAGTATTCCCGCACTGCTGTGGAAAAGTTAAACCTATCATGCAAGGGCACTGCGCAGATTTAATTACAGATTTTCCCCAGAAATCCATAGAAACTGTGATTAAATTCCTAATTGCTTTTGAAGAAGTGAATAAACAGTCAATAAGACTAAGAGAAGTTTCTGTCTTTTCTTCCTTCTGAAGAGATTTAGTGCATGCAATAAGGGCCAAATATGATCACTGAGCAGCACCAGCCTTCTCACAGATTCAGCAACACCAGTAGTGGACAAGACATTGGTCTTGGACCAGGGAGACCTGAATTCAAATCCTCACCTAGCCAATGAAACTCTTTGAAAAAGCATCACTCTACCAGCCCAACCTACCACACCACATTGATCTGAAGACAGAATGGGGATAACCTCTGACATCCTTGGTGTACAAATGTGATAAATACATTCTTAAGCCCTTAAATCCATTCTATGCAGCCTGAAGCATTAGACTACAAGTGGCCTATTGAATTAAGTACTAACTGAAGTGACAAAAAAACAAAGTGCTGATAAGACAAAATTAGACTGTTCTGCACAAAAGGTTTTTTAAACGCAAGTAGAATGCCAATTCATTTGGTGCAGCTCATGGAGGTTACAACATTGCTGTGGCTGTTCAGCTCTAAAACACATCATCATCATCATCATCATCATTATTATTATTATATACCACCCTATACCCGGAGGTCTCATCACAACCGTTTTCATCCCAATAGGGAGGGGAAAGTGCTGGAGAGGAGGAGGGTATAAATACATCTGGATATTCCAACATCAAGTTCAACATAAAGTGATGTTTACAGACTGTACCTGCTGAGAAGTGAGAAAAAGAGCCAGTTCACATTACCATTTTCTTGCCTAGTCTTTTGAGAGGCAGCTCACCTGGAGGAAACATATGCAGAATGTGATAGCAGTATAGCATTGTGGTGCTATACCTATATTAGAAGACAGATGAAAAATAAAGAAGACAGATAGATATAAATATTAATTAGGTATACTGCTATACCCGGTGCTTTTCCCCCCTAAAAATAAATTAAAAATGTTTAGGGATACTCTCAATTTCACTCAATAAAATCACCATTTTCTAGTTCAAATTCGGGAAAATAAATACAGTAAATGGACAAAAGTACAAAGATTCTCAAAATGTTTAGGGGTATGGTTCCCCCTGCATCCCCCCCCCCAGAAAAAAGCACTGGCTATACCTAATTCATAGACATATTAAAAAATAAGTAAACAGGGTCCTAAGATGGCACCCAAGACAAAGCAAGGTTGGCCTACCCATGAGGTGGGCTGAGGCAGCTGCCTCAGGTGGCAGAAACCTAAGAGGTGGGACCCCACTGGCACCTTGCCTGCTGCCCCTGCAAGTGGTGGAGAAGCAATGGCAGGAGCTTCCAGCGAGATCTTAGGAGATCTTGCTGAAATCTTGAGAGGTCTTGTATGCTCTACGAGATTTCACCCAAACTTGCCACTGCTTCACAGGTGCTTTGGGGGTCCCTGGACATCTGCCTCAAAGTTGGCACTGCTTCTCTTCCTTAGTCGATTCCTATCCTGCTCTAGGGATCATCAAAGAGCAAAGGCAGGCACCCCTCCGTTCAAAACAAAACATGATCAAATCTCCGCAGAACAGCTTCATGAAGCGGCTTTGTTTTCCTTTATTCTGTAAGATTCAAAATTCATATAAAGG